AAAGTCCAGAGAACACCTTTAAGATCATGTGTCTAGCCCTTCACCTCATGTCCTCTGGCTTCCTATTATATCTAAAATAAAATTAAGCGTCCTGGGTGAACTGGCCTCTTCGTATTTCTTCACATTAAGCTTGCACTCTTCTCTTCCACATTTCTGCTACCAGGGCCATTTCCTGTGTCCTCAAAAGCACAAGCTCTTTCCCTACACTGAGCATTTGTACATGCTTATCCCATTTTCTGGAACACTCTTCTCACTACCCCTCATTCTGTATACTTTCACGCCTTACTTGATTTTTCCAGACAACAAAATCTCCAATTCTCCGACACCAACTCAGTGTCCCACAATTCAGTTCCATTCCAGCACTACCCATAGTTGGAGCAAATCCTACAGGTTAGGGGCTCAGTCCCACAAGACTGTTCCCACTTCAGACACCAAGCACAAATGGGTTCCCAGGCTACCTCACTGCTGCTGGGCCAACTACAAATTTAGCGCTTCCAATGACTGCTCACTCCAAGATCTGACAATTTGTTAGAATAGCTCACAGAACTCAGGAGAGCACTACATGTAGAATTACAGTTTTATTATACAGGGTGCAACTCAGGAACCGCCGAATGGAAGCCATGGGTAGGACAAGGCCTGGGGTAGGTGAGCACAGCTCTTTCATGCCCTCTCTGGACAAGGCTCTTCCCTGCACATGGCTGTGTTCACCATCCCAGAAGCTCCCCAAGCCTCATCATTCTGAGTTTTTTATTGAGGTTTCATTACATAGGCATGATAGATGAAATCACTTTCTATTGTGACTGAATTCTTCTCCAGCCCCTTTCCCTTTTCTGGAGGTTGGGGCTGCAAGTTCTAATCCTCTAACCACCTAGTTGGGTTTTCCGGTGACTAGCCCCTCGGAGGCTCTTTAGGCCGCTCTCCGCATGTCATTCATTAGCACGCAAAGACACTCCTGTCTCTGAAAATTCTAAAGGCTAAGCAAATTTGTCTCTCCTTGTTCCTCTCTGGTAGAACTGTATTTTTCATCGTGGTATTCATATGTTTACTTGCTTAATATCTGAGTCGGTAGACCAAGCTTCAGGAGAGCAGGGTCACTGTCTCTCGTTCACTCCTATACAAATACATCTTCAGCATCTAGTACATAATCTGCTCAGATATTTGTGAGAAGTAAACTTAGACTCTTCAGGAAGAGTGCAGAGTAAGGAGCAACCATAGGCACCAACCTCTCAGGGAAAAAAGCTTGCGTTGATGGCTTGCTTTAAAGGGATATAGTGGCTGATTCTAGCTCCACTTAGTAGACATCCTAAATTCTTGGAGCATGTGTATGAAATAAGATGGCCCTCCTGCCAAGTACCAGCCCAGTGAGGACTGGCCACTTCTAATAGACATTCAGTCCCTGGACAACTGAATGACACTATCAGAATAGATAGGGGAAGTATCTTTCAGGTCCATGGCCTCTTGTGTAGTAAACAAGGATAGATGACGTTTTCTTAACTTCTCCCTTGTGGGGGTTGAGCTTTTGGGAAAGAATCTGGAACTTTGGTTTTTCTTGATGATGTTTACTATCTAGTAGTGATAAACTTTTAGCTAAGAATAGTTATTTTCATGAGCATAGGGAAGAAAAATATTTTCCCAGAGCAAGTTAACCATGTCTAAAAGAATTTATTTAGCTTTTTTGTTTGTTTGTTTGTTTGTTTTGGAAACAGGGTCTCTGTTGCCCAGGCTGGAAAACAGTGGTGCTGTCATAGCTCACTGCAGCCTCAAACTCCTGGGCTGGTCTCAAGCAATCCTCCCCACCTCAGTCTCCCAAGTAAAGCTGGGAGTGCAGGCATGCACCATCATGCCCAGCTAATTTTTTCTTTTTTGTAGAGATGGGTTCTCACTGTATTGCCCAGGCTGGTCTTAAACTTCTGGCTTCAAGCAGTCCTCTCAATCTCAGCCTCCCAAGGTGCTGGGATTACCAGCATGAGCCACTGTTCCCAGCCTGGTCCAAAAGAACTTAAAATGGAGCATATAAGGAAAAGGGCAGAGGTATCCAGATAATCCTAAGCACTCTGAAGACCAGCTCATATAATATATGGAAAACAGAAGAAAAGTTGGGGGAAAATTCAATGATTCAAATGAGAAAAATCAATGTAAGATGACTTAGAAAAAGTATTTTCAGACTCAGGGCACAGAAAAGTAAACTCTAGGTCCTGACACAGTCTGTGGAGACCTCTTTGTGTCCTAATGAGTTGCTTTTCCAGCCTCACAAAGGAGCCTCTATAAAGAGGGAAATAATGAGACTCTCTCCGGCTTGCTTCTGTCACTTCTTGTAGCTGAAGCAAGTAGAAGGAACTGGGTAATTGGTGTTCTCAACAGATCTCCCTTGAAGACAGAAGGGCCCTCTCACCCTCCCCGAGGCCTTGAAGGAAGCGGGCACATGTATTACGGGTGGACCCAAGAGAGACTTCTGAGTGACACCAGGGTCCTCAACCTCTCAGCAGCAGACAAACTTAGAAGCTATTCCTGTTGGCTTCATGTTCTTCCTTGTGGATTTGCTGCTTCCTACGTTTATCTATTAGAATAAAAATAACAAAAAGCAGGATTATGCATGGAAGATGAGAAAGACTGAGAAGGTTATTCTCAGACCTCTTTACTGGTTCTTCCTGTTCTCCCCAACTTCTCATTGTTAGGGTGGCCCCAGGACATTCTCCTCTATCTGTATTCACTCTCTTAGTGACCATGGCCAGGTTTATTGCTTGAAATACTATGTGTATCCTGATGCCTTCCAAATGCCATACCCAGCCCAGACCTGGCAGCCAGCCTCCAGGTTAGAATATCTGCCCAGGACATCTCCCCTGGGCTGTTTGGTAGGTATCTCAGGGTTCTGCATATCTAAAATGGATCTCCTGATATATTCAAATTCCAAAGTCCTTTTCACACCCTTCATCATCTCACCTAGACTGCTGGTCTCCCTGATAATGCCATTGTACCCCTAATGATCTTCTCAGCAAATGTTAAATCACAACACTTCTGTTTAAAAACCTGCACTGGGTCTCTCTCTCTACCATTGCCCTCATAATGCCTACAGTGACCCACAGGATCTGCCCTTCACCCTCATCCTTCTCTCCCTGTATCTCTGGCCTTACACACCCCACTCCAAACATCCTGGCCTCCTGAGGTTCCCCACGCCATCCCAGGCACGCTTTGCACTGACTGCCCCATTTTCCAGATGCACTTTGCAGGCATCCATGAGCCACCTCCCATACCTTCTCCAGGTCTTTGCTCAAATGTCACCTTCTGAGAAAGAAAGGCCCACCCACTCTGACCATCCTGCTCTGGAGTGGTACGCCTGAACCCCTTGCTCGTGCCATCTTTTTATTTCTGTAGCACTTACCTACCTTTGGTGTGCTCGGTAATTTGCTTATTTACTTTACTTACTGTTTATCTCCACCTGCTGGAATGTAAACCCCATGGGACAGTGATCTTTGCTCTGTTTATTGGTGTATTCCATGAGCCTAGAACAGGACCTGTCCCAATTAAAGTACTGATTAAAAAGACAATGGAGGTCAGTCGCATGAGGCCTGTAGTCTTTGCCAAGGCAGGCGGATCACTTGAGGTCAGGAGTTTGAGACCAGACTGGCCAATGTGGTGAAACCCTGTCTCCACTAAAAATACAAAAATTAGCTGGACGTGATGGTGCACACCTGTAGTCCAAGCTACTCAGAAGGCTAAAGCAGGAGGATAGAATCGCTTGAACCTGGGAGGCAGAGGTTACAGTGAGCTGAGATTGCGCCGCACACTGCACCCCAGCCTAGGCGACAAAGTGAGACTCCATCTCAAAAAAAAAAAAAAAAAAAAAGACAATGTAGACTGTCAGAGAGGAGAAAAGTTGGCAGTGTCCTATAGTAGAGAGACCCAGAGCTGAAGGCTTTCCACCAAGTGACCATGCTAGGGGGACTGGAAGGCAATTGTATAGAATTGCCTTTTGTCAGGGCAGCCATGGGAGGGGTCTGCACCCTTGTACACCTTAGGAGGCAGTGAGCCTTGAGGAGGGAGGCTTGAGTTCAGGGCAGTTCAGTCATCCTACCATCTTAGAGTGCCTTTCTCCAGCCAGCCTGGGAGGACTGTGTTGGTGTCAGCACTTGGGTGCACTGAGGTGCCATTCATGAAGCTGACCCCATCCTGACCTTAATGACATTGGCAGAGAGCCTTAGGTCTGCATGTAGCCCACTGGAAAAATACCCTGTAGCTAATCCCTTTTACAAGTTAATGAGTAAAAATGCAGTTATAGCAGTTATCTTTTTGTTTTTTTTTTTTTTAGTGTTAAGCTTGTTCTTCCTCTTAACCTCAAGTCAACTGTTCTCTTTGCCATCACTGTAGCTTTTCAAACCATTCCACACCTGGTTTATACATGAGAAAACCTCGAAATCCTCCACAGCTATTAAGGCCACTGGGAGTTATTTTCTCTTAGTATTTTTAAGAAAGGTGTTGGCTTGGGTTTGATCATTTTAAATGTGTTTTTAAAAAATATTTATTTGTAAAAATATTGAATATACACTAATAGTTACACACAAATTTCTTCTGTTTACCTCTTCCTTATGAAAAGTTGATTGTTACTTTAATAATTAACATTTTCACTTTTGTAGTTTTACCTGTAACTGTTTGCTAACTTGGATCAACAGCGTGCCTAATACTTCTTATAATTATCCTAGAATTATTTTTCTTATTTGGGATAAGCCACTAGGGGCCATTCTGATAAAGGCTGATGGAAGGTCAGGACTCTGAGTACCATGTAGGAACAGTACAGTCTAGAGACCTGGTTGAGAAGCCCGGCTTACCAATCTCGTCTCACTCATTGCTTCCTGAGCTGGCACATGGTTGTGATGAAGCGCATCAGAAGGGAGCCCGGAGGTGGCATTTGGGAGCCGTTTTCACTGCCTGGCCTGAGGTGTGGGCGACGGTGGGTGCTGATTCTGGGGGCTGGGATAATAACTCAGTACTTTCCTTTCTCACAGTTGTTTCCTCTCTTTGCTCCTGGTGGCTGCTGTGGTTTGGAAGATCAAACAAAGTTGTTGGGCCTCCAGGCGTAGAGAGGTAAGCCTCCGTGGTGAGACTGAAGAGTCCCTGGAAGAGCCTTTGCCTTTCTTTTTCTCTCAAGCCAGTGATTTAGTGATAATGGGTAGACAGACATCTCCACAGTAGGAATAATGTGGTCCTTTCTGCAGTCTGTAGTTCGGCAGCGTATGGTCAGTAGACTTAGAGAGTGCTACATAAAGGGGAATTCGTTCTGCACCCCAGGGTCTTACCTTACTAAAAGAAAACTCTGGTATTGACTTAGAAATGCCAGTTTTATCCTTCTGACCAGAACCCGAGTCCTGACTGAGGCCTGAGTTCCAAGGGCTTGTTAGAGTGGCCCAGCCACTGTGTGATTAGGCATGACCTTTACAAGAACCTTTCTTGGGAGAGGGAAATCAGACATTTAAGCATCTCAAACATTTTCCTATTATTCAAGGAAAGATAAATGTCTGTCTAATTAAGTTTTTAACTTGAGTTTTATTTTTTAATGTCTTGATTTGTTTCCAGAGCTTCATTCCAAAAATAATGTCAAGCAAATATTTACAGTTGACAAATTTAAATAAACATGGTTGAAAATTATAACATATCACATGCCCATCATTCAGTGAGTGGATAAAGAAAATGTGTGTGTATGTGTATATATATACATACACACATGCACCATACAATACTACTCAATCATGAAAAGGAATGAAATAGTGGCATTCACAGCAACCTGAACGGAATTGGAGACCATTATTCTAAGTGAAGCAATTCAGGAATGGAAAACCAAACATCATATATTCTCATTTCTAAATGGGAAGTAAGCCCTGAGGTCGCAAAGGCATAAGAATGATACAGTGGACTTTGGGGATTTGGGGGGAAAGAATGGGAGGGGGATGCGGGGTAAAAGACTACACATTGGGTACAGTGTACACTGCTGGGATGATAGGTGCATCAGAATCTCAGAAATTACCACTAAGGAACTTATTCATGTAAACAAATACCACCTGTTCCCCAAAAACCTATTGAAATAGTAAATAAATGAATAAATAAATGTTCTTTAAAAAGAACAATCACCATTAAAACAATTACAACATAAAAATGTTGTTTATTGCAACTTTCACTTGCATCACTACTTTGCCTTTCATGTAGTCATGCCCATTGCATTGTTGCTAATGGAAGTGCTCATGTGTATGTAAGATCTAGACAAGGAAGCTCTCTGGGGTTTTTTTGTATCTACTCATGCCTTTTTCTATATAAAAATTTACAGATAAGATTTAGAAGAGAAGTATCTAAAATCACAATTCACAAACATTTAGCACTGTTGACAGGACATTCGTAACTGAATAGGGTTAAGACAGGCTCCAGGATATGGGCCTCTTCTTATGGGCCACAGTACCACCTTTTCTGACCCACATAAAGATAATGTTATCCTAGAGGGAATGTTGCATACTCTTTATTATTAGTTTTTAAATTCAGGGATAACATATTCAAATGATTCTTTAGATAGCTGTATTTCTCATATATTTTAAAATCCTAATGAATTATGTGATGTTCTGAAAAAGTCATTTTTCAATTTAATTTAAATGTGTATTCATTCACAACGGAGTAAGAAAGACTTAAGAAGCCACAGTAAACCAGTAAACAGGAAGGGAGTTGAAAATTGTCTAAGTGCTGCTGTCTCCAAGGACATTAGACCAGGGAGTTTGAGAATTGAGATGAGCTTATGGAGATAATGGTAGCCTGTTCCTCCCTGCGCACTTAAGAGAATTAATTATTTCTAATTATTCTAATTAATTAATTATTCTAATTATTTCTAAAATCTGTAAAGCAAAGGAACAAATGGAAAGCTTGAAAGAGTCCGAATTGATTTTATATACAGAAACCTTGGTACCAAAATCTGACAAAAGTAGAACCAAAATATAAAGGCCAGCTGCATAGTGAATGTATATGCAGCAGTGTAATAAAAGAGTCACTTAATGTCAGAAAACTACTAGAATATATCATGTCAATGGGGAAAAAAACACCTGAATTCTCCTTGAGGCCAAGTAATTATTTCGTCATTTATTGAAACACAATACCCATTCCTAATTTGAAAACAAAACTAACAGTAAAATCAAAAATACCTTTTTAACACTATGAAGAATATCATCAAAACCAGCATCACTCATGATAAAACAAACACCACAGGCTGTATCCAGCCAAGTTAGTTTTATCAAGAGCTGACATTGGAGCATATTAAAATACCAGGCACTGTTCTAAGTGGTTTTACATAGATTAATCTTCATCCCAACCCTATGAAATAGGTATTACCACTAGCTATGTTTTATAGATGGGGGAACTGAGGCTCAGAAAGGTGTAGTAACTTACACCACATAGTTAACTAAGAGGCAGAACTAGGCTTTTACTAGGGACTTCTGTCTTCACAGCCCAAGTTTCTAATCTTCATGTAATCCCCATAGTCACTCAGCTTTGTGCTGGATGTGCACTAAGTGAAAGGGCACTAAGAAGTGTTGCTACTTTTGGAAAGGAAACAAAATTATTATTTTCGTATAAAGTTATTGAAACAGTATATTAGAGATTTGCCAGCATAAGAATGTAGGCTTAAGTATATAAAAAATAAATGAATAACACAGAAGCTAAATAATCAACTGGAAATTGTTTGCAACATATGTGAGAGAAAATAAGATGCACAGCCTATAGGAAAAAGGTTAAAAAATATATATGTTTAGTATGCAGTTGGTCATCTAATAAACTATACTTTTATGCATGTGATTTGGAATTTCTTTTTAACTGTGAGACTGACCAGAATATATTTCATCATTTCTAAAATGTCAGTCATTATTTATTCCCTCTCAGAATTGTAGAAGCAATGATTTGATGTTATTTTTAACAACAATAATGGTAGCAGTTAACACTGTTTAGTCCTTGGTACTTACCAGGCACAGTTTTAAGTGCTTTGACGCATGTTGTCTCCTGAACTCTCTTATTGCGACCCCAAAACTTAGAATAGCAGACTCCAGAGGAGCATTGCTGCATACATTAGTTGTGTAAATGGACCTATAGTTTTAGAAAATATAGGAATGTTATTATTGGTATTTCACAAAAATGTTTAACATAAAAATGCCCTTCTAGAACAGAGCCATATCTTTCCAGGCCAAGACTTTGTCTCCTACAGTAGTTCCAAGGAGGCTTAAGGCCTACTTGTCTCCCATGGCATAATCTCAAAGCTTCAGCAGCAAGCCCAAAAGATCTCTAGTATCCTTAATGATATGTGAACGGCCATTCACCATGTGCTAGGTGCTGTGCTGTAGTATCTCATTTGATCCCAGTGACAACCTTATGGGATAGGAACACATTTCAGAGGGAGGTAATGGAAGCCCAAAGACTTTAAACACCTTTCTTAAGGTCACACAGCCGGAGAGTATTAGAGCAGGAGTTGACATCAAGCCTCCCTAAATCCAGAGCCCCTGTTTGTCCCTCTACTCTGCAAAATTTCACGTGTTTGTTTTTAGCTTATACCAGCTCTCTGGAGGAAGGGTTCTCTCAGTTGTCATCTGTCATCTGCCATCTAATGAGGCATAGGTTTTTGTTGCTGTGTGAATCCTGGGTGCAAGTTTCAGTAGGAAGAAAGCAAGCCTGAATCTAGTAATAGAAATATGAAGAGATAGGGCCACATCACTTTATGTATTTGACAAGTCAACATCATAGCATTACATCCACAGTACTTTATTTTTTAATTTTTCTTTAAGTTCTGGGGTACATGTACAGAACATGCAGGTTTGTTACATAGGTAGACATGTGTCATGGTGGTTTGCTACGCCTATCAACCTTCTAGGTTTTAAGCCCTGCATGCATTTGGTATTTGTCCTAATGCCCTCCCTCCCCTGCCCCCCACCTCCTGACAGGCCCCAATGTGTGATGTTCCCCTACCTGTGTCCACGTGTTTTCATTGTTCAACTCCCACTTAAGAGTGAGAACATGAAGTGTTTGGTTTTCTGTTCCCATGTTAGTTTGCTGAGAATGATGCCTTCCAGTTTCATCCATGTTCCTGCAAAGGACATGAACTCATTCTTTTTTATGGCTGCATAGTATTCCTTGGTGTGTATATGCCACTTTCTTTATCCAGTCTATGATTGATGGGCATTTGGGTTGGTTCTAAGTCTTTGCTATTGTAAATAGTGCTGCAATAAACATAGCACAGTACTTATATATCTCTAATAGGGGCTTTTTAAAAATATAAGGACAATAGTGTTATCACATCCAAAAAAATTTAATAATCCCTAATGTTACCTAATATCCAGTCTAAAAAGTATTGTTTTGGACTTGATTTGTTTGAATCAGGGAGGATGAAGTGTTTTTAACATGTAGCATTCACTAGTAAAAACCCCTCAGTACTCATTGCATTAATGGCTTTGCCATATTATTTATCAGCAACTTCTTCGAGAGATGCAACAGATGGCCAGCCGTCCCTTTGCCTCCGTAAACGTCGCCTTGGAAACAGATGAGGAGCCTCCTGATCTTATTGGGGGGAGTATAAAGGTGAGAATGTGACTCAGAAGTCCCTATAACTTGACTTTTAAAAACTTAGGCTCCCATGTTTGGGAAACCAGAGAGAGCAAAAGCCTTATTCCATTACCTCCTTTTTTTCCTCTCTTTCTTTTTAACAATAAGCTAAAACACTGAAGTTGTTGGGTATTCTTTTGCTTTGGTTTTTCATTGTTTGTTTCATATTGCTGACCAGTCTTATGTTCAGGAGATTTCAAGATATAAATGATTTGTCTGATTTTCTTTTAAGTATTCTGTGGCATAATACTTCAAAACTTTTATTTGAAAATAGCTACTTTGAACATTGAAAATAGCTACACTGAATATTTTTTGAGACAGAGTCTCGCTCTGCTCCGTCACCCAGGCTGGAGTACGGTGGCATGATCTTGGCTCACTGCAACCTCCACCTACCAGTTTCGTGCACAACCATGCCTGGCTGATTTTTGTATTTTTAGTAGAGACAGGGTTTAACCATGTTGGCCAGGCTGGTCTCGAACTCCTGACTTCAAGCAATCCGCTCGCCTCGGCCTCTCAAAGTGCTGGGATTACAGGTGTGAGCCACTGCATCTGTCATGTTGTTCTTTATATTTTGGGGAATTTTTTAAGCAGCAAAATGATAATTCACTATGTACTAATACTCTATGGAAAATATTTATCAACCCCACCCCAAAATGATGAAGAAAATGGTAGGACTTTCTCCTTGGGCAAAATGATGGAATACTTGAGATACACTAGAGAAATAGCTATGTATCTTGAATAAAACATACTTACTTAAAATGTTACTGAGCTCACAGGAAGTAGGTAAAATCTCCAGGGAATACTCTCCTTCCCTACCCTAAAAAATACAAACCAAAACCAGAACATGATTTGTCCTCAGTGGTTCCAGATGGTAAATACCACGAGGCTCACCTGAATAGATGGAAATTCTCTCTGTAGAAAAGCGTCTCCAATTCAGCGCTGTTGGAGTCCCACAGAACAAGATGAAGTAATTAAGGATCACCAGGGACAAGAAGAGGCAAGCCACCATAAATAAGAGTAGCAGAAACAACAGATGATTGATGTGGACAGGACTCCAGATGTTAGAATTGAAATCTAAAGAATATAATATAACTGTGTATGAAATGTTTAAAGAAATAAAAGATGAAATCATAAAGATGAGAGTCAAATATGACCAAGCAGATCTGAAGAACCAAATGGAACTTCTAGAAATGAAAAATATACTCACTGAAATTTTTTAAATAAATAATAAACTTAATTTACATGTTAAACAGCATTATCAGACATAAGAGAGAATTTACAAAGTGGAAGATGAATCTGAAAAAAGTATACAGAATGCAGCTCAGAGAGACAAGGAGATAGAAAATGCAATAGATATTAAGAATATGGAGGATAGAATGAGAAGATTCAACTCATGTATTTCCAGAATCCCAGAACAAATGAATGAAGGAGAGACAATATTCAGAGATGATAGCTTTCCAGAACTGGTGGATCTGGCAATTCCACTTCTGGGTTTATACCTAAAAGAACTGAAAGCAGAGTCTCAAAGACATATTTGAACATCAGTGTTCTTAGCAGCATTATTCCCAGTAGCCAAAAAGTAGCACCAGCCCAAGTGTCCGTGAATGGATGAATAGATAAGCAAAGCATGGTCTATACATCCAATGGAATGTTATCCAGCCTTCCAAATGAAGCAAATTCTGACCCACGCTACAATACGGATGAACCTTGAAGACGTGCTAAGTGAAGTAAGCCAATGACAAAAAATAAATATATGTATGATTACACTTTTAAGAGATACACTTGTAGTCAAATTCATAAAGACAGAAAGTAGAAGAGTGGTTGCCAGGAGCTGGGAAAGTGCGGAAATGGGGAGTTTGTTTAATGGGTACAAAGTTTGAGTTTTGCAAGATGAAAAGAGTTCTGGAGATGGATGGTAGTGATGGTTGCACAACACTATGAATGTGCTTAATACCATTGAACTGTACATTTAAAAATATTTAAATGGTCAAGATGGTAAATTTTATGTGTATTTTACCATAATTTTTGTTAAAAATGGGAGAAGAGGCCAGGTGTGGTGGCTCATGCCTGTAATCCCAGCACTTTGGGAGGCCGAGCTGGGCAGATCACCTGAGATCAGGAGTTCAAGATCAGCCTGGTCAACATGGCGAAACCCCATCTCTACTAAAAATACAAAAATTAGCTGGGTGTGGTAGCATGCGCTTGTAATTCCAGCTACTAGGGAGGCTGAGGCATGAGAATCATTTGAACCTGGAAGGCAGTGGTCGCAGTGAGCTGAGATTGCACGACTGACTCCAACCTGGGTGACAGAGCAAGACTCTATCTCAAAAAAAAGAGAGAAAAGATCACCTACAAAGGAATGACAGGCTGACCGCTGACTTCTCAGAAGTCAGAAGGGAGTGGGAGAATGTCTTCAAAGTACTGAAAAGAGAGCCATCAACCTAGAATAGTGTGTCCAGTAAGTACCTTCCAAGAACAAAGATGAAATAAAGCTATCTTCAAATTAGAAGAAAAATTGATAATTTGCCACCAACAGACCTGCACAAAAGAAGTGTCTAAAGGATGTGCTAAAATGAAGGAAAATTACCCACAGGAGGATAGACTAAGGGGTAAGAAAGAGTTGTGAGTAAATAAAAGTATAATCATGTGTGTAAATCTTAACAAACATTGTCCTGGTAAGATAATATTTGTAGGATTGAAAAATAGGCAAGTGTAAAGTACTGAACAACATGGTATGTCAGCAGCATATGACATAGTTAGTTGCTCCTTAGAACACTTACTTGATTTTATTCCAGGACACCACACACTTGCCTTCTGTCTGTTCTTGCTCAGTGGTCTTTGCTCAGCCCTCTTCATCTTTTGACAGTGGTGTGCATCAGGCACTGTCTTTGTCCCCTTCTTGTGTCTTTTACACCCACTCTTTCAGCGATCTTCACTATCACAGGTTTAAGCACAATAATCCTCTCACCCAGACTGCTTCCATGAGCCTCCAACCCAAACATCCAGTTGCCTACTCAGTGTTCCCAATTGGATATCTTAACGGGAGTCTCAAATTTAACTTGGCCATGGCTAAACAGCTCTGGATGTTTATTTCTCAGCCCTGCTCCTCTGACATATCTTCCGCCACTCAGCATACCTCCGTCACCCTAGTTGCTCAGACCAAAATCATGGAGTTGTCCTTGATTCGTTCTTGATGTCATGTTCTCATTGGACATGCAGTCTATCAGCAAATCTTGACCCCGTCTTCAAAAACGTTTCCCAGCCACTGTGTACCATGTCTGCCACCGTTGCCACTTGATCTAGGCCACCTCTGTCTCTCACCTGGATTCTTGCAGTTACTTCATAACTGACCTCCCTGCCTCTGCCATTCACCCGTCTAGTCATTTCCTTGTGTCACAGCAGGGTGGTACTGGAAATTACCTTCTTCAACCAAATTGAAGAAATTGATGACATATTTTTGGGTATAGTACGCAGAATTCTAAAGGTGGCCCCCAAGATTTCCATCCCATGTTTATTCAGTCACACACTACTCAGGGTACTGCTAGAGGGATTTTGCAGATGTAATGAAACAAGGCAGTTGACTTTAAGATACAGAGAGAGTTTCTCTGGCTGGTAGCAGAAGAAGCCAGAGAGATTGGAAGCATGAGCAGGACTTGACACACCATCCCTGGTTTGGAGATGGAGGAGGCCGTAGAAGGAATTGTGGTTTTTTGTTTTTGTGAGACAGAGTGGCTGTGTCACCCACACTGGAGTGCAGTGGTGTGATCATGGCTCACTGCAGCCTCAAACTCTTGGGCTCAAGGGATCCTCCCTCCTGGGTCTCCCAAAGTGCTGGAATTACAGGTGTGAGCCACTGCGTAAGCCCTGAATATGTTTCAGAGCAGAGTCTTCCCCAGAGTCTCCAGATAAGTGCCCCATCAAGCTGACAACTTGATTTTAGCCTGGGAGACCTCATGAGATAGCTGATAATCCCCAGAACTTACGGAACACATGAACAGACCTGTCTCTCTCAGCAGAGAACCCTACAGAGCTTGCTGGGACTTCTAACCTATAAAGCTATGAAATAAGAGGATGTTCTTTTAAGCAACTAAGTTTGCAGGAGTTTGTCATACTAATGTAGGCTGGGTGCAGTGGGCCACATCTTTAACCCCAATGCTTTGGGAAGCTGAGGTGGGAGGATTGCTTGAGACCAGGAGTTCAAGACCTGCCTAGACAACATAGTGAGACACCATTTCTATTCTTAAAAAAAGAAAAAGAGGGGCCGGGCGCGGTGGTTCAAGCCTGTAATCCCAGCACTTTGGGAGGCCGAGGCGGGTGGATCACGAGGTCAACAGATCGAGACCATCCTGGTCAACATGGTGAAACCCCGTCTCTACTAAAAATTACAAAAAAAATTAGCTGGGCACGGTGGTGCGTGCCTGTAATCCCAGCTACTCAGGAGGCTGAGGCAGGAGAATTGCCTGAACCCAGGGGGCGGAGGTTGCGGTGAGCTGAGATTGCGCCATTGCACTCCAGCCTGGGTAACAAGAGCGAAACTCCGTCTCAAAAAAAAAAAAAAAAAAAAAAAGAAAAAGAGAAGAAACTAATATAGGAGACAAATCCAATCTAAAGGCTGCAACAGAAAATGAAGACATATTTTCCAGAGCCAAATGCATCCAGAGAGTAGACAAAGAATCCACTCGGTCAGCCAACAGCTTTTACAAGCGTTTACATCCAGCAGGCTTGTCTACTTAGTATCTGAAGGACAGACAAAATAGTTAGAATTTTTTTAAGTCTCCATAATATCTGCATCTGTGTTTGAGCCAGGTATGCAGAACTATCTGACAAATCTACTAAGCACTCACCACTGCTATTCCTGTGACCTACAATTATGAGTTAGAGTTTCAAATCGAGCGAAAGAACAGCATCCGGAAGAAACTCACTTGATGTGGCCCCTTCCCTGCGGTTCAAGCCACCCTTTGGAAGGGGGTTGTAAGACCTCAGTGGAAGGCAGGAAGCAGTACCACCCCTGTCATTGGTGCTCAGAGAGTGCTGTTAGCTCTCACCTGTCCTTTCTTGTTATCTTAAAAACTGCAGTGTACCTTTTTCTATATACTGAAATTGATGGTTCTTATAAGCACCAATGACTGTTAAGTTGTCTGTGTATGTTAAAGCTTGAGTATCACTTTAGGTAATTTTCTTTTATTCCACCAGACTGTTCCCAAACCCATTGCACTGGAGCCATGTTTTGGCAACAAAGCCGCTGTCCTCTCTGTGTTTGTGAGGCTCCCTCGAGGCCTAGGTGGCATCCCTCCTCCCGGGCAGTCAGGTGAGTAGATGGGGGCCAGCAACAGACACTTGCTAAGCATGAGAGGGAGCTACGCATGGGATACTTCCCTTTCCTAGAGAACAGTTTATAAAGGTGCTAACCAACAATGCCACCCATGCCATGGCAAGGATTCAGTGAGATAATCCCATTGTCACTTATATTCCCAAAACTGTTTTCCCGAGGTCACTGTCCTTTCCTGAGGGGATGTCCCAGGACCTCCTCACCATTCCTGCCTCCCCAGCCTCTCAGTGCTCGCAGATGCCTCCGATCACACCTTCCTTTGTTGCTAAAGTTTCTGGTCCCCCTTTGCCTCTGCTCTCTTTTCCTGTCCCTTTTTTCTCATTCTGCCCCGAATCTGGGTGTGCTCCCCTTCACTCTGCATGCTCTCCCTCAGCCACCTTCTCCACTCTACAGCTTCCAGCCATCTCCCCGCGACTGGCATTTCTTGTATTTCTAGCCTTCGTGCATTTCTTTTGCTTTTTTACTGTTTTAATATAAGGCACAAACACAATGATAACATAAAGGAAACATCTGAAAATCCACACACAGTTTGCTATGCCATAACCCACCAGTTTTTATTGTTCTGTTTTCTTTCCCTCCCTGGCCAGCAATTTAGTTGAAATAATTATATAGATCTAATTTTTATTCTGCTTTTTTCATATAACTAACTTAAATATTTTTACAGCCTACTACGTAATATTTTAGCAAAGCGTGTGACTTCTCAAATATATGAATCATAATGTATGTAAACGCTTACTTTGAAGACAAAATGTAGAATACAGTTTTGAAAGTATCTTGCTTAATCACAGAGTGCTTTGGAGGGTGCCTCAATGTGACCATTTTAGACAACTTTCAGTTGAGATGATTCTGGGGTCAGGGTTACCTTAGCCACAGAGAACCTTGTGTCTGATTGAAAGGTTGCCCCAGTATATGGGTCCAGGCCCTGAGCTCCACTGTCCCTTTGGTGCACCCTCAGACCCGGAAGAGCCTCCAGCCCAGCTTTAGAACCTTTGGGATCTGTGGTATTTTCACAAGGGAGGTCTTTCGACATGGCTCGGCCAGGATTCATTCAGTTGAGCCCCTAACTCGCCTTTGGCTGGTGTTGAGGACAGGGCAACTCTGTGATCTGTCACTCAAGTACAGTGTGTGTCTCCTGCCACTGCCCAGCACAGCTAACATTGGCTGGTGCTCCTGAGAGCAGAGTGCTGGCTGGGGTGGCGAGGTGACAGTTGTGTAGCCCTGTAGCCTTTCCGCTCCAGCCTTTGCTTGATGTGCCCCAGCCATCCAGAACACCTGATAAAGATCTGCTCACTGCTTGAGAGCCACACTTTTCTGGACTCCCAGAGCATTCAGCTCTGACTTTGCCATAACAGATCACTGGAATGGTTTTCCCAGTGTGTGCCAAGCACTTACAGCTGTCTTCCCCCACCCCTGCTCCCCTTCACAGGCTCAACAAAGTGAGTAACACGCTCTGCTAACACAGCTCCTGGCGGTCTAAGCAGGGCTCCAAGCCTGCGGTAGCCATTTCCCACATGTGTTAAGAATCCAGCTCCCCAAGAACTGTGCCTTCCCTAATGGATGCCAGATTAATCTGTTACCAATACAGGAAGGAAAATGGGATTGCAAGTCCCCAAAGCAAAGGGGGTGGGGGGCAGTGATGAGCATAAAGGGGAATTGCTGCTGATCGTTGCTGCCTGCCAGGTGCGAAGACTTTATGTCAGTTCACTCATTAACTCTTCACACTAGCCCTGTGCTATTATCCCCATTTTACAAATGAGGAAACTGAGGCACGGGGAGGTTAAAGGACCTTGCTTATTCAAAAGCCTTGCCCCAGAGCCTGCCCTGCTCTGTATCATGGTATAGAATGGAAGCAACTAATGCTGACTGAGTGATGTGGGATGAATCTGAATCTTATAATAAAGCATGCTGCTTTTTCTTGGCTTCTTCTGGAGGCAGGCGGGAGAAACTGGGCACTTAGCACATGTCTGTAGTCTCATTTATGTGTTCCCACCACCAGGCAGAGCACTGCACTTGGTTGATGTGCTGAAAAGCAAACTACGCCTTTTGTGTAAAAAATGGGTGAGGGAGAAGAATACGTATGTGTATTTGCATAAGTAAACCCTGAAAGAAAACATAAAAACTAGTGAAAGCATTTACGCAGATGGAGGAGCAGGTAGAGGGAGGGACAGGGTGGAAGGAATACTTTTCCTGTGTATGTGGACCTTTTGGGGGGTTTTTTGTTGTGTTTCTTTTTTTGCATCATGGGATTGAAAAATAAATGTTTAAGTTATTTTTTAAAACAAAATAAAACAGCTGCTCCCAACATAAGTTCTCTCTGTGGGTTCTCCCAAGGTCTTGCTGTGGCCAGTGCCCTGGTGGACATTTCTCAGCAGATGCCGATAGTATACAAAGAAAAGTCGGGCGCCGTGAGAAACCGGAAGCAGCAGCCGCCTGCACAGCCTGGGACCTGCATCTGATGCTGGGGCCAGGGATCTCCCGCGCACAAGCAAGTGAGTGGCACACCAGAGCCATCTGCAGGGAAGGGCGCAGCAGGGAAATGGCTGTGCGGTGCGGGGCAGAAGACTGGAAACTCTCGAAGCATCTGACTCACCTGCATGATCACAAGCTTTCTTTGACGGTTTCTCCCATCCGTGTTCCGGCATCTAACCTTTTACTTTTGCATAGGAAATACTTGATTTAATTACAGGTCCAGGGATGAGCTGATTGTTGCTGCAGGAGGCCAGTGGAGAGCCAGTGAGAGAACTAGGAAAGACACTCAGGTTCACTGTGGAAAACTGTTCTTGGGACTGTCTCAACTGTGCAAAAAACAAAAGATGGAGTGTTTACAAGTAGACTTTGTCATCAGTTGTCCTTGAACATGATCTTTTAAAAACTAGTCAGATGAATTAACTTGTTTTCATCTGAAGCCTGCTATCTTTTTTTTAAAAGATGTGCTATTTATTCTTGCACGATTTAGGCAGTTCTCTCTCCTCCAGGGAGTACCTTTTTTTCTAGTTGAGAATTAATAATGGTCCATCTCTTTTGATCATATCAAGCTAGGATAGAAGGGGGCTATTTTAAATGTCAAGGTCAGCAGTGTTACTTTGAATGTAAACTGGTGTAATAGGCAGTTTTCTATAGCAACTTGATTAATTTAGTCTTAATCCATTTGAAACTCTTTCCTTTCTCTCTGCCTGTCCCTCTCCTTTTCCGTCTCCATCTCACCCTCCCTCTCTCACATACACACTCACATACACACAACACTAAGTGCCTAGACTTTAAATAGATCTAGCAATTGGAAAGTTAGTAAGCCTAAGTTTTTACATAATTGCATTCCTACATTCTTGTAAAATTTAAATAGCTACCATTGGCAATCTGCTTTTTTTCTAAAATCTGATTTGCAGCCAGGAAAGAATTTTCTCACCCCAAGGGACGTTTGACCTAGCAGCAGGGATGAGAGGAAAGCAGAAATGAATGAACTGTGAAAGCTCCTGTTTTTACTGTCAAAAAGGACACTGTCAAGAAGGTGCCCCCTGCCCCCACCCTAGTGTCACCCTACGCCTGATAAGTTATCAGCCCTCTGGCCACCTCCTGCCAGGGCACAGAGGAAAGGACTCATTCATGTCACGTTTCCTTGAGCAGAAAAGAACACTGAGAACACTTGGGACCCCTGGATCGGAGAGCAGCTGTGTGTCCTGCAGCCTGTTCTGAACTTGCGGTTCATTCTCAGGCTGGGTGAACTCAGATGCCAGGAGAGGGACAGCCTCCCACTGTCAGGCAGAAGCTGCCCAAAACCTGGAGAACGACCTGTTTGCCCTTTTTTCCTTAGGAAGGGCTCAACCCACCTACCCTCCCTCTCAGACAGAGGAGGTGGCTGTGAGGGGGGCAGTAAATGGTGACAAGGATGAAAAGCACATGGAAAAAATGGACAAGGAGGGAAAACTCTATGCCAAATGGAAAATGACCAGATTTAAGAGGGTGGGACAGTCCCCTGCTCCTCTCCCCAGAGGGCACTGCCTGGAAATTGTGTTTTCCCCATTTATGGTGCTCTGTATTCTGGCATTATGCAGCAGCATCCCAGAAAGCTCTCTTCTGCTTCAAAACCTGGGATTGCTGGCATTACCCTATTGGGATGGACCTCTGGACAGCAATACTCAAGTTTGTGAATTTGGAGAAATACTCAAAAGAGCTAAAACTGCGACATTTCACCTTTAAATGCAGTGCCTAGAGAGACAGTATTATCTCTTCCCCAACACTAACCCCACTCCCATGAAGATTTGCCTGGAAAGATGTTTTCAAGGAAGTTGAACCATAAAACACTATCTGATGCACAAAACACCTCTACTTCAAGACTCACCTCTCATAAAGCTTCTTTTTCACATTATTGTTAAAGAGCAGATGTTCTAAAAAAGACCCCTCCTCTCACAAGCTCCCTATCCCTACTACAGAACACAGCACCCATGGAGCCTGCTGTGGACTGGCCCTCGATTCCCACAGTCCCCTGGGTGAGGCAAAAGGGAGGCCCTGGGCATTGTCTTCCTGCAAGGAAGATCCTCTTCATTTGTTCAGAGGACCAGTTTTCCTTGGCCAAAGAAGTCTCTTTCCCTGTGTTAGTCCTATGCCTTGAAATATCATGCACCATGACCTGCAGCCATCTGGTTGTGTCTTAATTTTTTCCTAAAAGATAATGTTTATTTTTAAAAAGGAAGGAAGGAGCAAGTGAAGTTTCATTCTGCTCCAGCAGTGGGGAAACTGCTAAATCCACCTGCTTCTCCTTTGCAACCAACAGCAAATAGCTTCCTCCAGCCTCAGGGCAGAAAAAGGGAATGGCAGGGAGTAAGAGGCTCTGGGCTGAGAGCCTGTTACCAAGAGGGAATGGGTTGTCATCTGGCAATGTTGCGTGTCACAAGAGAGCCTGTATATAAATTAAAATAGTCAAGAAAACACTGACCTTGCACTTGTACATAACTATACAGTAGTGTCCAGAATGTTCAGACATTTGGAGTGTACATAAAAAAGAAAAAAATCTTAATGTATTTTTATTAAATATAACAATGTCTGAGTTTCACCTAAGTTGTTTTTGTGCCATATGCTGGATATCCAGGTTCTGAGAGTTCCTCTCGCCAGGCCCTGATACGTGAATAACAAAGCCAAGAAATGCATCCCCATCATGTTGATGTGTTCGCATGCATCTGGCACCAATTAGGTAATTCTTAAAAGAGGACTCATCTGTTAGAGTGTATATGAAAAATCAGGCAGGGGGCTGGGCACAGTGCCTCATGCCTATAATCCCAGCACTTTGGGAGGCTGAGGTGGGCGGATCACCTGAGGTCAGGAGTTCGAGACTAGCCTGACCAGCATGGTGAAACCCCATCTGGGCGTGGTGATGCATGCCTGTAATCTCAGCTACTTGGGAGGCTGAGGCAGGAGAATCGCTTGAACCTGAGAGGTGGAGGTTGTGGTGAGCCAAGATTGCACTATTGCACTCCAGCCTGAGAAACGAGCCAAACTACGTCTCAAAGAAAGAAAAACCAGGCAAGGAATCCAAATGGCAGCCTTGAGGGGACTCAGGAAACAGAGGCATCTCTGCCGCTGCCATTGGCCCTGCAAGCACATCATGACCCTTTCTGGCAGCCCCTTGGTACTCTGGGTAGTGAGGGATGACCAGTCTTGTCCTGAGAAATGTTTCTCTTAGTCTTTAAGATCAAAGACTATAACCTGTGGCAATCAGACTTTCTAAAAGGGGGTTCTCCATTTTTTGTAGTTTTGTCTAAATTTTTAATGACCATTTCCTGGAATCAGTTTATTATACTGAAAACTGGGGGTGGCAGTAGGGAGCTAGTTTGTTAATAAATAGCTCCCATTTCCTCATGGAGAATTCGACACACCCTGGACTCCTGTGTGCCCCCTGCCACCCCTGCACACAGCCTGGGGAGGAGCCTGCACCTCCCTGTGTGGAGAGAAGGCAACCTCAGATCCCCTGAGGTAACCCGGAGGAAAGGCAGCCATGGAGAGAAGCCTGTCAGAAGAAGGAAAGTACTGGAATACCTGTGGGTAAGGCCGGCCATTCAAGACTGGAGACACACCAGGAAATAAAAAGACAAGGCGGGGCACTGCCGGCAGGAAGAGGCATTTTACCTTCCGGTGTAAATCTTGCTCCTTTAATTGTGGGTATTGGGGCCAGGGGCTGATTTGCTTCCTTGGGAGCTGGTGGTGGTTTCATGAATGTCTTTGATCCTTCCATTTCATTTATTCACCCATCCATTCAATAAGTATTTGCAAAACACTAACCTAAGCTAATGCTAGGGTAGTGACTGAGATATAAAAATAGATTTTAGAATTAAAACAAAATCCAACTCCTCACACTCACACCCCTGTCATCCCTGGAGATCTTTCCTTATGGTGGTTTTTTTGAGAATTGGCCATCATGAGGACAGAGCCGGGGTGGCAGAGGCCTCCTGTCCTCAGGGAGTGCCCTGCCTACCTTCTGAAATGTTTACCCCATGACCAAACTTGGCTGCAGCCACTACAGTGGCTTCTAGATAGCCAGCCCACCAAGAGACATTGCCCCTTGAGGGAAGTCAGACACCCTGCCTACAGGGAGGTGCTTTGGAGTGGAAAGGAAAATTGGCGCCTTCTCTTTTAAAGGCAATAATGGAATCAACTTTCAGTAACTGAATTTGTGCACAAAACGTTCTAAACACTAGTGAAGCCTGTTTCGTTGAACTAATTCTGGCTCTGGAAATGTTTTTGTTTAGTTATTTACAGTTTTGTTTGGATTCAAGCTTAGTTTGTTAATATGTATAATTTAGCATCTATTACACATGTAAATATGGAGTAAGTTTGTAAACTATTTCATTGCTGGGGATTGTGGGTGTTATACATACATTTAGGACTGCGATTTTTTGGTATTTTTTGTATTGTAAAATAACAGCTAATTTAAGCAGGAACAAGAGAACCAAGGGAGGTCTGTGCATTTTAAACACAAATGTGAAGAACTTGTATATAAACAAAAGTAAATAGTACAATACAAACTTCCTTCTGAAATAAAAGTAGATCTGGTAAAAATGTGGCTTTTGTTCTGAGTGTTCATTTTGATTTTGCTTTGTTTTGCCTATATTTACATTTTGGTCATTAGACCCTTAAGGGAAAAAAAAGCTTTTACCCGTTTTCAGACTGCCTCTGAGGGAGCACTTGACAGTTATGGAGGTGAAAGCTAAAAGCAGGGCAGGCACCTCAGACACCCCTCCAAGCAGCTTGTGAGCCACAGACTTTCCATGACAGCCTTTGTGTGCCTGCAGGGCAGCTGTGCCCTGCTGTGGGGACCCTGCCTGTGGGGGCAGGGACAGCTCTGAGCAGTGGGGTGTGGACAGCTGTCTCACTCCTCCACTAACCACGCCACCATCTCCAGTGGTGCCATTATCCTGCTTCGTGCTCTCCTCATGGGTCCTTGAATGTGCCTCTAGGTTCTCTCCAAACTGCTAAATCTCAGATGTGCTGACAGGTCTCAACCATGGTCACAGAGCTGTCCTTGGCCTTGACTTTTTCATGAAGATACTCCCATTGGCAAGGCCTTGTTTAGGGGGCTCCTGTGCGTCCTGCCCCCACTTTATTTGGCTCCTGCCTCAGAATGGGTCAGAGTCATGCATTTCAGGGCCTCAGAGCAGAGAGCAGATTCCCAGTGCAAGGGCTTCCTTCCAGATGAATGAGGTCATTTACAGATGGAGGAAACACACAGAAGACAGTCACTCCTATAGTGAGGGTGGCAGGGTCCTAGGGCCAGGACCTGAAGTTAGGGCAGAAGCCTGGAGGAGGCCTGCCCACCAGAGCTCGGGTCTGACTTAGGGAGGGAAATGGCCGGACTAGTAGCTGCAAACAAGTTGAGAAGGACCTTGAAACTTCCAGGGAGGGCTGTGGAAGCCAGCAACAGTTTCTAACAGGATGGAAACCTGTGATTTGGTGGTACTGTGTCAGAGATAACGCTGTATTTACCAAACCTACTGGGCCCACAGCTCATCATTTCCTAGCCTCCCTGTAGTCAGGTTGGGACCAAGCTAAGCCATGGCCAAGAAAAGGTTGGAAGAAGTGATGAGCACCAATCCCAAACTTGGCACACAAATGCTCCCACGGCGGACTCTCCTGGGGGCCACATGTCAAAGACACTGGAGGGACTATGGGTTCCTGAGTCACCCCTTAGAGGCAGGCTGCCTGATCAGTCAGAGCTGCGTTGGCCCTTGCGTCACTGGAAAGCAAACTTGCACTCTCCTGATCCACTGAGATCTGGGGCTTTGTTACACCAGTTAGCTTTTCTTATTCTCGCTAATAAACAAATTGGCACTTTGAAGTGCAGTGCACCTGTAACCAAAACCTAAAGTATGTGGCACTGGCCCAGCGTGTGGCCAGGTGGCGAGCAGTGAGGAGACAGATGCAGCTGGCCGGACAACTGAGGTCTCTGCCAGGCGGAGCAAAACATCTGGTAAGGCTGTTTTACTTGGTAATTCAGAAAGCAAACTCCATGCCTGCTGACTTTTTGGCTTGAGGGGAAGAAATGAAAAAACATTGTCCTATGTGTTCATTGTTTTTGGCTGCTTTTGGCGACGCATCACGAGAAAAAGTTCACTTCAAGAAAGAATTAGCCAGTTTACATGCAGAAGGGAAAAGGGGTGGAAAGACGTCAGTCAGGGCCTTGCAATTCTGGAAAAGCCAACTGCTTCTAGCCTCCAAGCAGTAAGAGGTGCAGGTGAGCAAAAAAGGCCCCGTGAGACTCAGCTGAACACAGTGACTGGGCCTCGTGGTGACCATCCAGTGAAGGGTGTGGTCTTCCCACTGGTGCCTGGAAACTGCAAAGCCACCAGCTTGAGGGAGGGGCACCTGGTTAAGGAAGCAAAGAAAAAGCTGATGTGAGAACTGTTTCCAGGAACAAACCATGAGTGTAGTCACTGATCCTGGACGTGCCTGGAAATAAATAAGGATGTAGTTAAATTTAAGAAACCATTAGCAAGGCCTTAAAAAAAAACCAGCAGCAATTGAGGAAGTCTTAAATCCACCCTCAGGCAGGAAGACGGTTGTGAAAGCTGCGTCCACTGAGGGCTGACAAGCTCAGATGTGGCCCAAGAGCAGAACTGGGCCTGAGCGAGGACTCCCCCCCAGCCCAGGGCAGGGCCCAGCAGGACTGCAAAAAACGCCACAGAGCAGCGATTGCTGCATCTGCACTCGCTCCTTCCTGGGCAGGAGGGCTTAGGAGGGTGTTCTACCCATTCTCATCACTACCTGCTGGGTGTGAGGTGGATTAAGTTGTCTTGTTAATTCAGGCTCGTGGGACTTCAAAGAGCCACCTGTGGGAGACTGCATCACCTAGAGGTCTGGGTGGGGATGTGACCTTGTATTGTCCCCCTAGGAGAGGGTGCCTGTGACCCTTGTAGGAGAGAGAGGAAGCACAAAACTGGTTTTGGTGATCAGAATAGCAAGCTGGGCCAGAGACTGGCTAGATGCTTACCATTCAATTTCCTCTTCCTGAGTCCACAGCTTCAACTGCATGGCCTGGGCGACTGGCGTCTGGGGAGAGCCGTGGGACCAGCCCTTACCAATGATGTGTCATTTCAAGGCCATTCAGCGTGAGTATCTCTTCCACTCTCCATCAACCTTGAAGGCTTATGTTGAAGGTGGTAACACAACAGGACTGAAGGATCCTGGGTCCCTGAATTACTTGTGAAACAGAGCACGATAGGCCAAAGGTAGTAGAATTAGGTATCTTTTCTTACCCTGCTTAAGTGAATTAATTATTCTCTAGATTTATTCACCTAGTTCTTCAACAAAATTTTATTGAGCACATCAGGGCCAGGCACTGCATCAGGACCAGAGATTCTGCAGTGAACAAAACAGACAAAAAGCTATGTCCTCCAGGAGTTCACAACCTAGCAGGGGAGATGATAATAAAATGTCAGATGAGCGCTATGAAGGAAGGTAAAAGTAGGGCTGGGGGTAAAGTCCTGGAGGGATTGCTGCTTAATGTGGTGTGGCTGGGAAAGCTGTTCTGCTGACAGCTGAGAAGAAGGATGGGTGGAGGGAGCAGGAAGAAATGTGGAGGTCTGGGAGAAGAGCATTCCAAAGGGGTGGCCAGTGCAGAGGCCCTGAGTGGGCAGCATGCCTGCTGGGCCTGCTGGATATTTGTGAGCATGAAAAAGTCTGTTCCCAGTTGTTTGCCTGCAGAACCTAACCTAGTTATAAACACAGGATTTGAGAGCTTGTTTAATATACAGCCAGTTTTCCAGCAATGCAACTACTGTGTAATCAAGGGAAAACTGAACTTAGTTTTCCTTAACACTTATCACCAGCTGGTCATCATTTTGGCAAATTCTGTCAACAACAGCAGTGTCATGCCTGGCATCCATATGGGTCGCGTTTGAACAGACATGCCCGGCAGCCCCCCAGCAAGAATTCCTTTCCATCCTGTGTCCCTGAAACAAGAAAGTGGTGAGCCCGGAAGATCCCAATGGCTGTCCCGAATGTGCTGGACGGAGTTGTCAGGGCCCATGGCATGCCCTGTAAGCCTTTCCTTCCACATTTGGTTTCTGTCCCTTGAAGACTCTATTTCTGAGTTTGTGTGTGTTTTATTTTCTAGTGTGTGTTAGTGTGTGTCCTCATCTTCTTAATTTCTCTCTTTCTCTTCTGCCTTGAACTGAAGGTTCACTTGGGTATGGGGACACTCGCCCCCAGCAGAGCAGCTTCCCCAAACATCCTCCAACCTAGGCCTTCCCAGGCCTGCAGCCTGGCGAGGCAGGGCTGTGCACTTCTGCTTCAGCTCATAAGCATGCCAGACTCAAAGGCAAGCTGCTGTCCAGTCGAAGGACTGCTTCTAAAGCTCTGCACAGCCCCTGTCCTTCTGGCTCTCTGGAAATTTCACCGACCTGTGTCCACATTTCAAACAAAATGTGCTGGTTCTGTGAGCCTGGGCCGGCCTGACTCACTTGGTGGGCGGTGAGTGGTTTCCACTTCAACCCTGCACCTAATCACTGGGCTCCACACCAGGATGGGCATTCATGAGCCGTGAAGTTTCCAGCAATAAATTAATGGATGTTTCCAGCACCTGCCTTTTTGCATCACCCCCCACTCCCAGCCACCTGCCAGGCAACAGGTAACAGCCAGCCAGTCACAGGAGGGTAGTCTGGCTGCAGTCTCCCAAAGCCCCTGCACGCAAGTGACAGCTCCCTGGCAGGACAAGGAGGCTGACATTCAGATGTGGAGGAACAAGGCATGACTCATTCCTGGTTGTGGGGGCCACAGCTGGACTCAGCCTTGAGGAGTGGGCAGACTTAACACTGTATAAACCAGGACCTTTTTAGGTAGAGGTAACAGAAGCCAAACTCTAACGATCTTAGTGCTGTTAGTCACCTGGGGCTGCCAGAATAACCACAGCTTCAGTATCTGGAAACAAGAGAAACTGATTCTCACAGTTCTGGAGACCAGAAGTCTGAAATGCAGGTGTTGGCAGGGCTGTAGTCTCTCTGGAGGCTCCAGGGGAATCTGCGCCTGCCTCCTCCAGCTTCTGGTGGCTTGTGGCTGCATCACCCCAATCCCTATCTCTGTCTTCCCGTGGCCTTTTGCTCAATGTGTCTGTGTTTAATTTCCCTCTAGACACCTCTACCTCACTCTTATAAGATGCAGAGGTGAAACATACAGGTGTTGACAGCCCACTTGGATAATCCAGGATAAGCTCCTCTCAAGATCTGTAACTTGGCTGGGTGCAGTGGCTCATGCCTGTAATCCCAGCACTTTTGGAGGTCAAGGTCGGAGATTCACTTGGGTGAGGAGTTGGAGACCAGCCTGGGCAACATGGTGAGACCCTGTCTCTACTAGAAATAGCCAGGTGTGGTGGCACACACCTGTGGTCCCAGCTACTCAGGAGGCTGAGGTGGGAGAACTGCTTGAGCCTGTGACTTTGAGGCTTCAGTGGGCTATGCGTGCACCACTGAACTCCAGCTTGGGTGACAGTGAGACTGTCTCAAAAAAAAAACAAACCACAACTTAATCGCATCTTTTGCCACAGAAGGCAATTCTCTTGCCTACATATAAGGTAATATTTCCGGGTTCCAGGGATCAAGACATGGATGTATCTTTGGGACCACCGGCAGCCATGAAGCAATCTTGTAATTTTCAAATAGGTTCTGTCCTTTTTATTTTTCCAATCTTTTGGAAGCATATGCCTATATTTTTAATCCACAATTCTATTTTTATTTGAAGTCATTTCATTTCTGGTTTTTATTTATTTTTTATTGAGACAGGGTCTCACTCTGTCACTCAGGCTGGAATACACTAGCACAATCATGGCTCACTGCAGGCAACTCCTGGGCTCAAGTGATCCTTCAGCCTCAGCCTCCTGAGTAGCTGGAACTACAGACACATATCACCATGCCAGGCTAATTTATTTTTTAACTTTTTCTAGAGGCAGGCTCTATGTTGCCCAGGCTGGTCTCAAACTCCTGGCCCCAAGCAAACCTCCAGCCTCAGCCTCCCAGCGTGCTGGGATTACAGGAGTAAGCCACCTTGTCCAGCCTCTAGTTTGTTTTTGAGACAGATTAGTCCTCTGTCTCCCAGGCTGCAGTGCAGTGGCATGATCTTGGCTTATCGCAACCTCCACCTCTTGGGTTCAAGCAATTCTCCTGCCTCAGCCTCCTGAGTAGCTGGGATTACAGGCATGCACCACCACACCTGATGAAATTTTTGTATTTTTAGTAGAGATGGGGTTTCACCGTGTTGGCCAGGCTGTACTCAAGCTCCCAGCCTCAAGTGATCCACCCAATTCGGCCTCCCAAAGTGCATGAGCCACTGCACCCAGCTTCCTCCAGTTTTTTTTTTATGCATATATTTTACAATAATTAACTGAGTCAAAAATGGAGAAGAGTTGAACACACTTTGATGTAGGGCAAATCATTTAGCAGCTATTTAATTCTGCATTTGGGCTACGATGCCATTGTGGTGATCGGGACAAGGTGATGAGCCCTCACTCAATGCACATACCCCGCCTCTCCCCAACCCACCTACAGATGTCCATTCTCACGCAGGTGTGGGTGCCTGACAGTATTCCCTCTTCTTTGTAAAGTGAGAATGGGCTAGACTCAGCTTCACTGCCCAGCAACTCTTTTTCCTTTGGGAAACTGTCCTTCCCGTTCCATGTCACCATGGTGGGCTGAGATCACTCAGCGTTCTACAGAGGAGGCCCATTACCCATGCTGGGCCTATCAGAGTTCTGCCTGGGACAGTCCACGAATGCTGGAAGAGAGAGGTACCTTTCCCTACTGAGGCTGCTAAAAGGAGACACTGTAAAGCTGGGCTGCTGGTGGAAGTCTTACCCTCTTGGTGAGAGCCTGCCTGGCTGCAGGGGAAGCCAACACACAGATCAGCACAGGCAACATCATTTGAACCACTGGAGACAGCTGTGCCTGAAGCCTGCATGGCTCAGGCACATGCTCAAGCCACTCTGATTTGTTTGTTATAGTCAAGAGAGTCCTTGGCTGGGCACAGTGGCTCACACTTGTAATCCCAGCACTTTAGGAGGCTGAAGCGGGTGGATCACCTGAGGTTAGGAGTTCAAGACCAGTCTGGCTAACATGGTGAAACCCCGTTTCTACTAAAAATACAAAAATTAGCCAGGCATGGTGGCGTTTGCCTATAATCCCAGCTATTGTGAAGCTGAGGTGGGAGAATTGCTTGAACCTGGGAAGTGGAGGTTGCAGTGAGCCGACTGCACTCCAGGCTGGGTGACAGAGCAAGGCTCTGTCTCAAAAAAAAAAGAGCCCTGACTGAAGCTGAGAGGCTGGTGGACAGCTGCTAGCAAGCAGTGTTTGCAGGTTTGGTGTGACCTGCTAAGTCCACACTTGGATCTCAGAGCTGGTGGCTCTTTTCCCCAACAGGACAGTTCCAGGCCTGAGTTTTCATGTGGTCTGTACCTAACCCCTGTGACTTAGGTCAGGATTTCTAGAAGCCAAGCCCAAGACAGGAATTCTCAAATGCCATGATTTATGGAGGGAATGCCTTCAGGGGAGCCTGCCAGTGAGGAGAGCAGGAGGAGGCAGGCAGGGCAGAAGCTGAGCCAGGCAGGGGTCCCAGCTGGAGCCTAGCCTCAGCTTGACCCCAAAGGGGTTCTGGACCAGGAACAGCACACAACAATGCCATGTTCCGTGAGGGTCAGTCATCAGCTGCAGTTGCCTCTGGGAGCAGAGTAAAACCCAACAGGCATTTCTGGGAGTGCAGTTCCCTAGAGAAGGGACAGCTCTGAGCTGTTACCAGTCACCATTCCCAGTGGCTGGGGGATGCGCTGTACTGGCCCAGAGAGGTCCCTGAGCAAGGCCCTGACAACCTCCACTTCAACCTCCTGCCACACCTCAAGCAGACTGAGAAGGAGCAGCCAGAGACACAGGAACCCTTTTCTTATCAGGAGTTTTCAAGTTTTGGAGGAAGAAGGAGGCAGGCAGGAGGCAGGAAGATAGCTTCACCCCAGGTGTTCAAGGCTGCAGTGGACTATGATCATGCCACTGCACCCCCACCTGGTGACAGAGTGAGGACCTATCTTGAAAACACAGACAACCCAAGGTCCTTGGCATCTGCCGAGTCCACATCGGGCAGTGTGTGTGACATGACCACCCCTAGCTGCAAGGGAGGCTAGGAAATGCAGTTTCATTATCTGAGTACTAGTAGAGAAGGAAAGGAGATGAAAGCAATGGCAATCCCTGGCATGAGGAGCTGACAGCTGATTGATCTCAGCTTCCTTAGGTAAGGTGATGGGGCCCAGACAGGTTCTGAGGCCATCTGAGGTTACGCAGGCCAGCAGGGGCACACATCACAGCAGACCTTGGTCTCCAGGCTCCCAGGACACAGATCACATAAAAGCAAGGTCAGTCTCAGTGCACATGGGTTTAATAAGCACTGTATGCCATTCCTATGGCTGTGGAAAACCAGGGTGAAGATGGCCATAAGGCCAGTGCCAGGCAGAGCACAGCTTGGGGCCCATGCAGCAGCATATGGAGAACAGGAAGGACTGCCAGCATGCTCATGGTGCACAGGTGGCAATGGTGGGTAATGCCCAGCAGGAGGATGCAGTGTTAGAAGGGGTCTTGCCTGTTAAGTCTGCCCAATGCATTCCTAGAGAATTATCCACTTGGCAGGCTGATACCATTTCCTAGAATTCTGGGAGTCTGGAAGGTCTCTGACCTTCCCTAGGTGATCTGGGGCTCCAGCGAGGCTTCAGCTACAAAAGTGACCCTCTCCTGATTCACCTTCTGAGAGACCCCAATTGTCTCAAGGTCTATGGATAAAGGGACCTATAACTAAGATGCCTCCTGACACGGAGAGCGGGGGCTTTGCAGTCAGGTCCAGCCTACATTCCTCGCTCCAGGGGATGGCACACAGGATGTCCAGACCTATAAAGGGCAGCGGGGTGAGAGCACCAGGGCTGGTGTGGGAGGTAAGCCAGTCCCTTTTCAAGGGGCCAGCAGGCCACAGAGGTGGCCCAGGTAGGCAGGGTGGGGTAGCTGGCTGTGCTGTCCGAGATCGCTGTCCTAGTCAGAGCAGGGCCGGGAGAGCCAGGACTGGGAGTATGGAGAGCAGGGAGCACCCTTCCAGGGTCCCGCCTGTGGAAGACACCTTGGGGGTGGGAGCCAAGTGCACACTTGAGGCAGAAGACTGGTTCTGCCCTCTGCCTACACCCCCACCCCAGTCCCCTCATGCCTCCACCCAGGCCCACCCGGCACGGAAGGGTGTGAAGGGGATGGTGAGGGAGGTGCCAGCTTACCCTCCCCTCCCTGCACCTACCTGCAGGAGGCTGTGCTCAGGGTGCCCTTGGGGGTTCGGCTGGTCCAGCAAGACTGGGGGCCACCCGCTGGCAAAGGCCTGAATGGCACCATCTATGGAGGGAGGGGTTCAGGGTGCGCTTGGCTGGGAAATGCTCACCCAGGGCCCAGCTCCGTGGGGACAAAGTGAGAGATCCCCTGCTGCAAAGACTGGCTCCTTGGGAGGGAAGGTGCGTGGTGAGGAATAATCAAAGCATAAGGATAGCCGCGACAGAGTGACTCAACGGTACAGTCTCCACTCTCCCCTCTTAAATGGCTTCTGGCCAAGGTGGCTTGGAAGGGGGCAGTAAGCCGACCCAACCTTCCGCCTTCACCTCCGCCCGGGCCCCTCACCCAAGCAGGGGTTCCTGGTAAAGAGACCCCGGAAGGCTTCGCAGTCCTCACGCCGGTTCCCGCTGGCTCCGCAGTGGCACCAAGGCGCTACGCGCGCGCTCGCATTGTCCACGTAGTTGGGAGTGACAGCAGTGCCTACGGGGACACCGAGGGCCAGGTCATCGGCCCACCCAGGCGGAGGCATCCCCTGGAGAGACCCCGCTCGCCCCCAGATCCCAGCCGCGCTTACCCACGAGGCCCGCGTAGGCGCGCACGCAGTGGGTGCGCTGGTCCCACAGGCAACCGTCGGGGGCGCTGGGCGCCGGCGCGCAGGAGGCCTGAAAGGCCAGGAGGCGGGGCCTGCGCGGAGGGAGGGCGGTGAGCCGAGAGGCCCCGCCCCCACTCCACCCTCACCCCACCTTCGCCGCGGCCGCGCCCCCGCTCCTCGCCTCCGCTCTACCCAAGCCGCGGCCAGGTCCTTGCTCCCCGCTCCCTGCCCCGCCCCCGCCCACGCGCACCTGCAGACCGGGCTGCGCTCGCAAACCTCTAAGGGCTCTAGGCAGGAGGGAGGCGCGGGGCCGGGCCCGGAGAAGGCGCAGGAGGGCACGAAGGTCTGGCGCCGGCGCTCGGCGCACGCGGAGCCCCCGCACGGGCAGAAGAGCAGCGCGTAGGTGAGCGCGGGTGGCCCGCGGGCGAAGAAGCGGCGCAGGGCGCGGCGGCAGCGGGCGCGGGGACAGCTCCTCTGCGCGGCCCGGCCCAGGCACTGCGCCACGTACTCGGAGCGCAGCCGCTGGCACAGCGCGTTCGCCGTGCAGGCTTCGGCCGCGTCCACACATCGGTTTCCTCCGGCCGAGCTCACGGACCCTGGGAAAGGGAAGGGCCAGTTGCAGGTCTCGTTGCGGCGCCCTGCCTGCAAACTTCACCCAGCCCGTCCATGCCCCCGGAAGGTGGGGAACACTGAAAACCCGAGGAAACACAGAGTGTAGCCCAAAGACGGGGCCGACTGGCACAGACCGGCGCTCTGTCGTGGGGATGGGCAGCGGCGGGCTCTGGAGGGCCTTGCAATACGTCAGGGACGGAGAGGGCGCTTTGAGGCTGAGCCAGGCCTTCCCCAGGAGCTGAGGCCCCTCCTTCCTAGGCATCACTACCATTCCTAGAACGGCCACACAAGTCCAAAGACAGGTCCAGGGGCTCCTCCCAGCCTTACCGGCCCTGTCTGACAGGGGAACAATGAGGCTTTCTGGGGATCTGGCCAATGGAGACTTGAAAACCAGAGATGAGCCGGGCATGGTGGCTCAGGCCTGTAATCCCAGCACTTTGGGAGGCCGAGGTGGATCACCTGAGGTCAGGAGTTCGAGACCAGCATGGCCAATATGGTGAAACCCCTCTCTACTAAAAATACAAAAATTAGCCAAGTGTGGCGACAGGCGCCTGTAATCCCAGCTGCTCAGGAGGCTGAGGCAGCAGAATTGCTTGAACTCGGGAGGCAGAGGTTGCAGTGAGCCAAGATCAGGCCACTGTACTTCAGCCTGGGTGACAGAGCAAAAGTCCATGTCCAAAAAACAACAGCAAAAACAGATGGCATTGAAGACAGTGGCTGCTCCTAGTCTCTTAATGACAGGCTGGGACGCCATACCTTTTCTCCTCTACTGACTCCCCTTGCCCCTTATCCCCCACCACGGTGACCCTTTGGGTGGGTCTATCGGTTTCTGTTTCTCCCTCTTTCCTGACCTCCTGCTCGTCCTCCTGCATCGGTGTCCTCCCTCCCTAGCCCTTCCCGATGCTCCCTTGAGTCGAGGTCATCCTGACCCATCTGGACTGGCTTCCTCCAGCCCCTCCACCCTCCACCGGCAGCGAGAGAGAGGATTCACTGAAGAGCTGAGTCCTGGCTGCCAGGGTGAGGATTCAGAGAGGTCCCTGATGACACATCGCAGAGCTTTATCCTGAGCCACAGGACCCAAGGGTTCATCAGTGGTTTTAGTGACTGGGCCCCATGATAAGTGGCACCCTGCTGGGGACAGATAAGGTGTCTGGCACCACAGAGTCACACACCAGGAGTTGGGTAGACAAAGGGTGAGCTCTGCTCAGATGCCCCACAGGCTATGTCTAAATCGAGCCAGGGCAACTCGAAGTTGGGGCTTGGTAGCCCCTTTCTAGGACCTGAGTCACCAAAACCAGGCTGACCGAATCCCCCCAGCCCCACAAGTCCTCCAGTCTGGAGCACCTCCTTGAGACTAGAAGCCTTTCTGGTGTCCAGCCTGAGTGACGGTGCGCAGCCTGGCCTCTCATGCCTCTCCCTGTGTGTGTGCACAGGGGGTAGCCTCCTGCCCCAGGCTGAGAACAGGGTGCCTCTCTGACAATGGCCGTGTCTTTCAGGCTGTGGATTGGACCGCGTGGGGAGAGTGATTCCTGCTGTGACTTCAGCACCGGCCTCTGCAGGGAGGATGAACATAGGTCGAGGGCTTAGAATGGTCCCTGAGTAGAGGGGCTAGATGGCAGCAGGGCGAGTCCTCCCCCCCCTCCCCAAAGGGCACACTTGGCTGTCCTCTCACAGCCTTGCCAGTCACATCCCCAGGCCTCAGCCGCACACAGCAGCACCTGGTGTCATCTAAGGGCTTGAACCCACCTCTGCCTGTTGCTTACCTGCCACCCTTGCCCAGAACACCCTTACCCCATCTCCACTCTCACAGCAGCTCATCTCCTCCGCCTTAAACCTTTACCAGATTCCACTTTCCACACCACACCCGGTAAAGTGACCCCTCCCTCCGAGACGGCCGTGCAGGGAAGGAACAGTCCAAGAAGGTGGAACAACAGATACAAGACACTGAAGATTCGCAGCAAGAATCTGTGCGAAGGGTTGGAGGGCTGGGGCCGAGGGGAGGGTGAGAGAGTTGGGAGATGGATAACAGGCAAAAGTTCCTGGGGTAGGGGTACTGAGACTGGACTCAGGAGGGGGTGGTGGCTTGGCTGGGCTGGGAGACGAGCTGCTCAGCACATAGTGGGGTCGATTGCCAGGTGTCCCCGAGCCCTGCGCACAGGCCTCTCATGCCAACCCTTCCTGTGGTTCAGCTTTTCCTGGAAATCTGTTGCCCTCTCACCTTGTCACTGAGGAGCAGGGACAGAGAAGCCAGAGTTCGGAGTCCGGGGGAGGAGAGGGGTGCTCACCCAGTAGCAGCAGCAGGAGCAGCAGCACAGGCCCCAGGCAGCGGACCATGGTGGACCCTGAACAGAGAAGGATGGCTGGCAGAGCCCTGGTCTGATAGGCGCCACCTTCCTAGCGCCTCTGGAGCAGGAGCACGGTGAAAACACGGAGGTCTGTGCTGACGCCCCTGGGAGGAGCCTTTGTTTCGACAACTCCCCACCCTCATTAAGTCTCCACCCCACACTGCACCTTCAGGTAAGCCTGGGAGCTGTGGGATTCGGCACCTGCATGTGCCTAGATGGACCCAATGCCCTAGCCCCGCCATGCACACCCAGCAACACACAGCCCCCTGGGAGACCTGGTCTCTGCCATGCTAAACTAGGAACGCTATGAAACAGCATTGCTCTTTTCCTTTTATATAGAATTTTATTTTAAACTTAAAAACATTTTTTTTGAATAGAGATGAGGTCTCGCTCTGTTGCCCAGGCTGGTCTTGAACTCCTGGGCTCAAACGATCCTCCCACCTCAGTCTCTCAAAGTGCTAGGATGACAGGTGTGAGCCACCATGCCCGGCCTATTTTAAACATTTTATTGTTGACTAATTTTAGACTAGCAAAAAAGTTGGAAAATGTAAGCATTTTCCTTATACCCTTCACCCAGCTTTCCCTAATGGTACGTCTTATTAATCGTGGCCCAGTCATTACAGCTAGGAAACGAACCTTGGTACAATCCTATTAATGAAACTGTAGACCATTTTGCATTTCCTGTTTTTTTCACTAATTTCCTTTTTCATTTCCAAGATCCATTCTAGAACCCCACAGCACAGCCGACTCCTTCGTCTCCTCAGTCTGGGTAGTTCCTTATCTTTATCTTTGACACTTTTGAATAATTCTGGCTAGTTATTTTGTGAAATGTTTGTTTCTCTTGAGTTAGCTGATGTTTCTTCTGATCAGAATGAGATACAGCCTTGTTTTGACTAACCAAAAAGTGACTCTGTAAGTAAATATTAAGGCTAAAAATCTCATCCAACCTGGGCAACAGAGTAAGACCCTGTCTCAAATAAAGTCTCAACACTTAGAGTTAAAAAGTGACCAAAAAAGCCCTACCATGATTTGTCTTGACTTTCTTTTTTTCTTTTTTTTTTTTCTGAGACAGAGTCTTGCTCTGTCACCCAGGCTAAAGCTCAATGCAACCTCCATCTCCCAGATTCAAGGGATTATCCTGCCTCAGCCTCCGGAGTAGCTGGGATTACAGGCACAGGCCACCATGCCTGGCCAGTGTTTGTATTTTTAGTAGAGATGAGGTTTCACCTTGTCGGCCAGACTCATGTCAAACTCCTGATGATCAGGTGATCTACCCATCCTGGCCTCCCAAAGTGCTGGGATTACAAGTGTGAGCGACCTCACTCAGCCTATTGCAACCTGTTTTATCAGCAAGGTGTTTGTGACCTGTGTCTTGTGCTGACCTCCTGTCTCATCCTGTGACTTAGAATGCCTTAACTGTCTGCAAACACAGCCCAGTAGGTCTCAACCTTATTTTACCCAGCCCCTCTGCAAGATGGAGTTGCTCTGGTTCACATGCCTCTGACACATCCTCCTGAGTTCTGGCATGTGGGAGGAAAGAGGGATGAGGGAAGGAAACTCAAAACCAACTCTGACCATGCAGGGCAGGAACACTCTCGCACCTGTCTGTGGGTGCCACAGCTCAAGGGAGGGGGAGGGAGAGGAGAAGGCATGACAGATGGCCCTGGGTCGCAGAGTGTCAGGGCAGCCCAAGCAGCTGTTGTTGGATGGTCAAAGAGAGGGCATCACAGCTGAGCTAGGCTTGCTCACTGCTCCCAGCCGGATGTCCACTCTGCCCCTCAGCATCCCCTGCTTAGCCTCAGGGTCCATGACTGTCCTCCTGCATTCCAGTCACTTCTGTCTCCCTCCTGCTTCTGCTGTTGGCCCCTTGCCAGCTCTGTTCTGCTGAGCTTCTCTTCAGTTCTCCAGCACAGCCAGGTGATCCCCGGCTCCAGAGAAGCCTCTCCCCAAGACTGGGGCTCCCCCCCCACACCATCTTTCCTTCCCATGTGGCCTTCTCGGGGCTCCACACTGAATGGGGAAGGGGTGGAGCAGGTGCTGGGCAGTCTTAGGGAATAGCCAGTAGGGCAGAGTTGGCCTTCCCAAGGGTCCCTTGTAGCTGGAGTCCCACAAGGTCCAGACACCCCCTCCTGAAGGGTAAGAGAGGGGGAGGTATATTAAATGTTTCTTTAGATTCTTTTTTTTTTTTTTTAAGACAAAGTCTTGCTCTTGTCACCCAGGCTGGACTGCAATGTCGCAATCTCAGCTCACTGCAACCTCCACATCCTGGGTTCAAGTAATTCTCCTGCCTCACCCTCCTGAGTAGCTGGGATTACAGGTGCTCACCACCATGCCCAGCTGATTTTTGTATTTTTAGTAAAGACAGGGTTTCACGATGTTGGCCAGGCTGGTCTTGAACTCCTGACCTCAGGTGATCCTCCCACCGCCTGGCCTTAGATTCTCTATTTTATGATGGTTTAACATCTCAGGGTAGGGGCTTGTTGGCTGCGGAGAAACTGCTGATTCCTGGAGATCAGAAACAACTCACGCCTTTCATATGCAAACCAACCAGTCTTAACTCCATACACCAACCACCCCTTTAAGGAACTCTCAGGTCCCAAGCCAGTGTTTCCCTGCCCTAAACCAGCCCAGGGCCGGGCACTGACCCAGACAGCTAGAGCCCAACCCCACACCCAGAGCCCACCAGTCCTACCCTGTTCCCCGGCCTGACTTGCCTTTCCAGTGGAGACATCACTGACGGCTGTGCCTGTGCCTTCCCCTCGCTCCTGATTCTGTCCCTGGACCAAACCTGGTGCCTCCTGCCCCACTGTGGCCCCGCATGGTGGGAAACTGTAATAACATCTTTCGGTGGCATTGGACCCTCTGTGTCATCATTCAGTCGCCTTCATACATTAAAATGTTGCAGCTACAACTGAGGTGGGGGGGGAGCTTTAGAGAGCACTCTCACCTGGGCCCTTGGGCTTGTGGAGTGGAGCCTGCACTGAGGCTGCCTCTGCGAAATCAGTTTGGGGATGGTTTTGTTATGTGGCAACAGCTGGCTGATACAGGCCACTTGGCAGCTCTTGCATGAAGCAAAGGGAGAATGTGAACACCCAACGGAGGCTGGAGTGACAGGGCAAAGAGGGTGTTCAAGGTAGGCAGCACTGTCCTGTGCCCAAACACACAGCTGGGGCCCTGGCTGCCATCTAGGCTCGGCCTACCAGCCACCACCCCTTGTAGTCCTCAGGGCACCTGGTAGGGTTGAATTTACATACAGAAAAAAAACTGAGGTCCAAGTGCAACATGTCTTTTTAAATTTTCTTTTTTTTTTTTTCTTTGAGACGGTCTTGCTCTGTGGCCCAGGCTGGAGTGCAATGGCCCGATCTCAGCTCCCTGCACCCTCTGCCTCCTGGGTTCAAGCAATTCTCCTGCCTCAACCTTCCAAGCAGCTGAGATTACAGGCGCGTGCCACCACACCCACTAATGTTTTATATTTTCGGTAGAAATGGTGTTTCATCATGTTGGCCAGGCTGTTTGTTGATCATCGTGACCTCAAACTCCTGACCTCATGATCTGCCCTCGTCAGCCTTCCAAAGTGCTGGGATTACAGGTGTGAGCCACCTCGCCTGGCCTAATTTTTCTTTTCCCTCTGTCACCCAGGCCCGAGTTCAGTGGTGCCATCAGAGCTCACTGCAGTGTTGAACTCTTGCACTCAAGTGATCCTCCTGCTTCAGCCTCCTGAGCAGCTAGGCCTACAGGCACACACCGCCATGCCCAGCTAAGTTTTAAATTTTTTTTATAGATACGGGGTCTTGCTATGTTGTCTAGACTGGTGTTGACCTCCTGGCCTCTAGTGATCCTCCCAGCCCTGCCTCCCAAAATGCTGGAATTAAGGCATGAGCCACCACACGTACCCAACGTGTGTTTCTTCTGACTTCTATGTTGGTATCTTTTGTTAAATGGTTCCCTCTGTCCCCTCCCACACACAGAATGGGGGAGAGGCTGTCGGACTCCAGTTTCCCCCAGAACTTCAGGTGCAGCACTGGGACTGGGGGTGGGGGCTGAGGAACCATCTAGGGGAGAAGACAGGGTGGGAAGAAACAGGAAGGAAAGTCCCCCAAATTGGGTTTTTTTGCAGGGGCCAGGCTCCAAGGGAGTGTGTACTCAGTGGAACCATAGGGCCCCTGGAGTCCCAGCTTCTGGCTAGCAGTCATGCCCTCCACAGAGCTGGGTCTGTGGAAATTGCATGTAGGAGACACACCAGCCTCGCTGGACAGAGGCCTTTTCGGGTGGCCAGCACTACCCAGCCTCCACTGGTGAGGAAGGTCAGGGGCTGTGTGACCTTTGCCTCTGGGACTGATGGATTATTGAGCTGGAGGGTGTGCCCAACCCCTCAGGAGCGGGGTCTCCACTGGGCAGCTTCTAAGGCGGCTCTGGGGTCCTGGAGTGGGTGGGTTGGAGCTCCAGTCGGGAAGAAACTTCCAAGCTGCCTGAAGGCGCCAGAGGTCCGGTGATTCACTGGCTCTGCCCCTGGAGTTCAAGTTCCTGGAGTGGCTGTCAGTGGCCAGCTATCTTTAAATCTGTTCATTTCAGGAGCTACCTCTCACCAGAGGCAGGATCTTGGCATCTGGACTCGATCTACTGAGAATGAGGAGGATATGTTGTCCCTTAAGGATGGGGGCTCCAGCCTACAAGTTGTGTGGCAGGGAGTCCATCCTCAGGCTTTTCACAGCTTCTCCCTCCCCAGCCCAGGGGCTTCCAGCATTCTGGTCTCCATGATAACAGCTTCTTCAAGAGGTCATAAACTCATTTCCATAATAACTCTTGCCCAGAAACCCGATTGGGGGCATCGAGCTGAGGGATGGGAGAGGTGGGAGAGTGGGCAATGGGAGGGGAGGCTTTGAATCCGGGTCCCCGCCTACCTTTGCATCAGGCGGGGCTGTGGGCCACAGGCTTCTGGGGTGGCTGCTGGGCTCAGGAGGGTTCTCAGGGCCTGGGAGCAATGGTGGAGGGTGAGTGCTGTGAATATGGTCAGTAGGAATCCTGGGGGCTGGGGTGGGGCACAGAGGATTCCAGGTGACTGGGTGCTGCCCATCTGGAAGGAGGCAGGAGGCACTGAGCCCTTCCCTTCTCCTCCCCTCCCCTGCCCTTCCTTTCCTCCCCTTCCCTCTCTGTCTCTCCCTAGTGCCTCACTCACCTAGGGGCCAGAGCTCTCCAGTGGCTGTGGGGCCCAACTCCATGGGGTGAATGCTGCACAGGGGGTGGTCCCTGTGTGGGCCATCCTTGGGCCTGAGCAGTGGGTAAGAGTCCAGGAGGTTGGCACATTGCCTGAGTAGGTTACTGCCTCCCCGAAGCATGGTGTCCAGCCTGGGGAGTTCTGCATTTACTGAGTTTCTTGGGGCACCCATCTGCTCCAAGTCACCCTCTCAGCTCCCTTCCAGCTCCCTCTTCAGGGGATCCCTGGGACCCAGGCTCCATTTGAGCCTCATGCCTCGCAGGACGGCTGGCACCTCCTCTCTCCAGTCCTAACATTTCCTCCAGGCTCTGGCACCACCTAGCAGCCTGGCACTTTCCAGATGCTGGCATCACTCAGCTTCCAAAGAAACCTGGACGTCCCCTGCTGCAACAGCTGTGTCTGCTCACCTTGCCACTGGGTACCCTACTGCCCTTGATGATTACAAGCCATCTTTGACTGTCCCCATCCCATCTCCCAGGGCCTTGCCAATTCCTGTGATGTTCATTCAAAGCATTCTCTCCTACCCTAAAACTCCTGCCTGGGGATGAGAAGCAGCCTCTGCCCTCTGCAGAGTCCCCTTCATGCTGACATGCCAGGCTCTGGCTACCTCCTCCTCTGCCCACAGACCCTCAATCACTACTCACTGTGTCAGGATCCTCTTAGCTGCCACCCGGGGCCCAGGTGGCACTCTGCCCCTGTCTGTTATGCCCTCTGCCCCATCTCCAGCCCAAACACTGCCATCTCCCTAGGCTTACCCAGAGCCCTCCCAAGACCTGGCTATGACAGACATGGCCACAGAGTGCCTGGACAGCCGTGCTTAGTATTATGTGACTCTCCCCCCGCAGGTCACAGAGAACTGGGTTAGGGCAGGGCCCTGGCATAGGAGACAGCCAGTGCCATAGCTGGCCAGTGGTATGGAGTGAAAAGATCTGCTGGGCTCAGCATTTGGGAACTTGAAGCGGGTGACAGAGGTGATTTGGACAGAGGAAGTGGCAAAGGGCTGAAAACTCCTGAGACAGAGGCTGGAGAGGCCTCTAGGGGCAGCATGGTGCAGGGGCTGCAGTCTGAGCGGGGAAATCAGGGCGAAGTCAAGGGTGAGGCAGCCACCTGGTGGGAGAAGCAGGACAGAGGACGAAAAAGGCTGTAATGGGAGGTAGGGGGCCAAGCCTGGCGGTGCTGGTGGGGGGCTGGGATCCACCCCCTGCCTTGACTGGGAGGCCACTGGAACTTCCTGTTCAAAGCTGCTTCTTTCCAAGGCCTCTGGGGCTGCTCTCTGCACCTGTGGGTAAGGCTGAGGGCTGTCCCAGCTCGCGCAGCCCCAGCAGAGATCTGAGGAGGGGAACCCCGGAGTGGGCTCAGGAAGCAGACGCTTGGAGCCTACCCACTGCACGCAGAGTCTCTCCTGCAGCACCGGCTGCATCGCTGCAGATGGGCTCTTGGGAGCCGGTAGTAACACCAGGCCAGGCCGGCCCCTGGGAGCAGAGGCAGCAGGGCGCTGAGGAGCATGGCCAACAGGAAGGTGTCACGGCCTGCAAGGACAGAGTAGTGGGGAGGCTGAGTCCTGAGTGGGCGCAGCCCCCCTGCTCCTGCCCACCTGCCCCCCACTGGCATACTTTCAGGCTGCACAGGGCCACTATCCATGCTGCCACCGAAGCCTGGCTTGTCACAGAAGGGTGGAGCCCAGCCTGGAGCACAGTGGCAGTTATGGTTGCTATTGCAAACCTGCAGAAAGGGGAGAGGACGGAAAGAGGGTCACATGAGATTAGGAACCCCAAGGTCATCCCCGCCCCTTGGGCTCTCACCCCATGTCTGTGACAGGCAGTCAGGCAACGCTGCAGCTCCTGGAAGGCAGTGTTCTCGCAGCGCCCGCTCTGGCACACCTATGGGCAGTGCATCAGGCAGTGAGGGGGACACTGCCTGTGAGAGTCACTGGCAAGGAGGGGTCGGTGGACAAAGCTCACCATTCTAGGTCCACACTGGGTGCCTGACTCTACCAGGCCCAGGCCAAGCAGGTCCAACCTGGCACCAGGGAGTGCCAAGGCTCCCCGACAGGTTACTTCGTGGCCATCTAGGTGAACGGTGGAGTTCACTGGCACCATGTGTGGTGCGAGTGGGCTGGGCTTTCCGCCCTGGCACTGCAGCTTCCCACACAGGGCATCCCTGGGGAGGAAGCAAGAGGGGGGTCAACAGCAGCAGTACCCCCTTTCCCAAGCCTACTCCATAGCTTCTGTTCCCTCCACTCAGCTCCGCTCCCTACCTCTCAGCACAGGGCAGGAAGTGGCCCTCGCTGTCCTGGCCGCAGTTCCCATGGGTATCTCCCACAGAGTTCACAACCTGGAAACAGGCCTCGGGGGCTGGATGGGAGCCTGAGGAAGTATGAGCTAGGCTGGGTGCAGCTGGGATAGGTGCCACACTCAGTGGGCCTCCGTTTCCCCTGCCTATCTTCCCCTCAGTGGAAAACTGGGCCGACCAGAGGATGAGGGGCAGGGTGTAAGGGTGCTAGTGTCCTCTCACCAGGCCCCCAGAGCCGCTGGCACTGCTGCTCCAGTGTGGGACATGTGCCATCCCAGCAGTAGCCGCTGCCCCTGGCGCAGGGCGAGCCGTCCAGTAGGTAAATGTCTGGGGGACAGTAGGGGGAGGTACCCGTGCAGAACTCAGGGAGGTCACAGTCGCCCATGGCCTGGCGGCACAGTGCTCCAGCCGGCTTCAGCTGCGCAGGTGACAGGTGGTGGGAGGGCAGAGAGAGGCCACGGGCAATGAGAGGTCCACGCCCAGAGCCTGCTTGGAGCTGGAGGAGCTGGTCCAGAGGGCCAGGCGGACCCACGCCAGCACCCAACGGGGGAACCTGAGGGCTCCAATTAGCTAAGGGCAACAGGCAGGCTCCTAAGCGTCCCAAAACCCTCACCCTGAACCTTCCGTGCCCTCACCAGGCAGTGCGTGCAGCAGTCCCCGTGGGCACACTGGGCCCCCGCACGCAGCGAGCAGTTGTGAGCGAAGCAGCAGAGGTCGCGGCATTCCTGGGACCAGAAAAGCAAGGGGGGACCAAGTGAGGGAGCAGCGCCCCAGACCTGGGCAGAGAAGCCGAGTTGGGGGACGGGCGAGCCGACTTAACCTGGCCAGAGCCGCAGTCACACTCCTCGCCCGCCTCCACGAAACCGTTCCCGCAGCGCGCTGGTGGCACCGGGATCCCGGAGTCCGGGGCATTGGAGAGGCACGCGCCACCCCCCTTGCGGAAGAAGGCGCGCAGCTGGCGGCGGCTGCAGGCGCTGAACACGCGTGGGAACGGGTGCCTACCGGCGTGGGAAGGGCGTTGGGCGTGGAGGGACAGCCCCACAACCCCCGCGCTTCTCTGATCCCCACCCCTGGGCTTGGCTACAGGCGCCAGATGCGCAGACAAGCCTGAGCGATGGGAGGCTCAAATCCTCTAGAGGCAGAACCCAGAGAGGGAATTGACCCCCCGCAAAGTCACACAGCGAGCGGGACGGGGGACGGTGTGGCCCCAAGAGTGGGCAGCCCGGGACCCAAGGTGGAATCGCTACCCGGCGGTGCTCCTCCCGGTGTGGGAGTAACCTCGCCAGGTTACTTGGAAAACAATCTTCAAACCGTTGAGAATCCACGTTGCCTGCGTTTCTTCCCTTTAAGCCTCATAAACCACCCTGAAGCGGACGCTATGATCATCATCCCATTTTACAGAAGAGGAAACTGAGGGACGACCAAAGAAACGCGGCGGAGGGAGTCCCCAGGACTAGCCGCCTCTCCGCAGCCCCGACCCCCCACGCACGTACCCGGTGGCCGCGGCCATGACGCAGCCTCCGGGCTCGGCCGAGGCCTCCACGCAGCAGCCGTCGGTGTCGTGGCTAAGGCCCAGACTGTGGCCGATCTCATGGGCCATGGTGGCTGCGGTGCCTATGGGGAGCTCCGAGTGGTCCTAGGGTTCCGTGCAGTGGGGCGGTCAGTGCGGGCCGCGGGGCCTCCCTTCCCTCCCCTCGCCCCGCTCTGCGGGGCTCACCATGCTCACGCCTCCCGAGCTCTCTGCGCGGCACATGCCCTCGACGGGTGCCAGGCCCACTGTGGAGCCCTGGAAGGCGCGGCCCCTGGGGATGGAGTGCGGCGTGACCGGGCGGGGCCGGGAGGTGAGGCCGCCCCGCCCGGGACCCGCGTCGGGCTCAGAGGCACCCACGTGAGCAGCTGTGCGGAGTCGTGGGGCCGCTGCGCCCACAGGCCCCGGCGCCACTGCAGAAAAGCCCAGAGCGTGGCGTTGGCGTCCTGCGTGACGCGGCTGCGGTCCCGCTCGGTCCACACTTCCAGGCCAGTCAGCACCACCTGAATGTCCAGAGTCCTGAGAAGCTGAGGGCGGGGCGGGATAGGGCGGGCTGAAGCCGGGACCAGGTGTCCCACCTCGCCGCTGCTCCTCCGTGGGGGCACCCCTCCTCGTCCCCGCACCCCACTAGCACCTGCCGGTCCTGCCGCCGCCATCCCCATCACTGCTCTCTCCCTGCCGCCCCCAACCTGGTCCACGTAGTTGGCGACTTCTAGGAGACGCTGTTTGGTGTGGTTCAAGTTCCGGTGCTGGGTCACGAACTGGGAAGGCAGAAATCCCAGTGGCTTGAGGGGCTGAGCTGACCCCATCCCAGACTCCATCAACCCCTGGGGTCTCCCCTCACCAGGGTGTGGTCTGCCACTATGTACAGTTCCAGGTATCTCGGGGTCTTGCGTGCTTCTCGCCTGTCCTGCAGAGAGGCGAATGGGAACCCTGAATGGAAGCTGCTGGGCTTGAGCCCTGACCACCAACCCCAGCTCCCAGAAAGAACAGTTTAACATGTGTCCTAGAAGATGTTTCCTCAGACTCCAATAAAAATATTGGGACATGCTGGACACGGAGGCTCACACCAGTAATCCCAATACTTTGGGAGGCTGAGGCGGTCGGGAGTTCAAGACCAGCCTGACCAAGATGAAGAAACCCTTCTACTAAAAATACAAAAAATTAGCCAGGCATGGTGGTGCATGCCTGTAATCCCAGCTACTCTGTCAGGAGAATCGCTTGAACTGGGCAGGCAGAGGTTATGGTGAGCTGAGATCGGGCCATTGCACTCCAGCCTGGGCAACAAAAGTAAAACTGTCTCAAAAACAAAAAACTGGGACAGGAGGCCCTGGCTTGAGGCCTGTGAATTCCTGTCTCTTTTGATTTGGAGGGCTATGGCTGTATCCACAGTCCTCCAAATCGAATTCCCATTCCCATCCCCTCCACGCCCTGACCCTGCTCTGGGGAGCACCAGGAAGGCTGGCCATGCCCGCTTTGTCCGTGGGATCCCTGTGGCCACAGGCTCCTTTCCAGGTCAGTAGCTGCTCCATCCAGAAGATCCTGTGGGTTGAGAAGTCCTTGGAGCTCTGAGGCGGCCAGGGATGCAAGTAATAGCTGGCATTGCTGCTGAGGGTGATCAGGCCTCTAGGGTGCAAAGGGGTAGGAGCAGGTGTGAGGGAGCTCTTTCCCCATCCCAGGCCCAGCTCCCTCTCCGGAACTCACCTCATCCCAGAGCATGTGCAGAGGACTACCCAGGAGTTGGGGAAGCCCCTCACTCGCCCTTGGTAGTGGCAATGATCCTAGGGAGAAAGGAACCAGCCCCAAATCTCAGCCAGGGCTGGAGCAAGAGGGGAAGAGGGAGGGCAGGGTGGGGGCTGGCTCCAACCTCCCCTTAGGAGTGCAAAGAGGAGCAGGGCAGGAATGGTGGGGGGTGCCTCTGGGGTACATCCCAGAGTCCATGGAAGCATCTCACCGTGTGGTTGGGGGCCAGTACCACTGGCTGCCCATCTGGGCGGTAGTGAGTTTCTGTGTATCCTGGGGCCAGCAGCCTGCTGGGAGGGGTATTACAGGGAGCATTGAATTCTGCTTCCGCCTGCCTCCTCCAGGATGTCTCCCAGCCTTCCTCCCTAAATGCTAATGGAGCAGCTTTATGAGTGAGGCACTCAGTGTGTCTTAGGGAAGGCACAGGAGCAATGGTGGCTTGCTCAGGTCAGAAACACTCGAGGCCAGAGGCAGAAGACTTGGTGATGGCTTAGCTGTGGGAGCTGTGAGTATGGGAAGTGTCAGGGAGGACACCGGGAGGAGCTGGAATAGGGGAAGAGTTTGTGGTTCCCAGGGGACCTGCAGCAAACTGCTGGATCCACAGGTTGGGAGGGGAGGAGTCAGGAGACTGCCAAGGAATGGGACTTGGAGTCAGGAAAACACCGCGAACTCCCCAGGTCCCCCTGCCTGCTGCCCTCCTTTGTCGACCCTCTTGCCCTAACTTGCTCTAGATCCTTGAAATATTTTCCTCAGACTTCTAGACCCCACATGCCTCCCACCTGTCCTTCAGTGATTGATGTGTACCCCCTGCCTCCAGAGAAAACAGAAGCTCCAACTGCCCATGCCTGCTCCTGCCCTCCCCACCTTCTCCAGACCCCACTCAGGTCATGATTCCATTTTCAGGCTTCATCTCAACAGTATCCCTCCTACGTGGATGGATCAATCATAAGTCAGTCTCTCTTCTTTAAAGAAAATCCTTTACCCCAACCTCACCTTGGCCTCATTACCTCCAGACCACCCCCAAATGATGGTTGCTTCCACCTTCTAGGAATTCTCCCACCTGCCCCAGCTCTGCTCCCCACCCCTCCCCGTCACACACTCACCACCCTAGGAGGTAGGTGATGTGACTCCCCCATTGAAAGGGCAGGGACGTTGGCTCCAGGGTAAATATGGTTGGGCACAGTGGAACTAGAGTTTGTTCCCGGTCCATCCGACTCCACGAGGGAGAATAAAATACATGTTGAGTGCTCAGAATAGCCCCTGAGGTCAAACAAACACTCAGTAGGTGATACCTATTGATAACACAGTCTGGATGGTTTCAAGAGCCTGTGCTCCATCTCCGACACCGACTCCACCCAGCTGAGGCACCATCCTGAGCACAGCCCTGACTGCTCCTTCCCGGCTCAAAATCTTTGGCTCTGGACACTGAGCACTAAAATGGCCTTCTGTGATCTGTCCTTCCTGGGGCTCCCCAAATTCATCCCCCTGCTCCCCTCCCTGCAGGTAGAGACCTTCCAGGCAGGTCAGACAAACTGCTGCCCCTGAGTGTAGCCACTGCAGCCCAGGCCGGAGTGGTGCAATGGTGGGATCTCAACTCACCACTCCGCCTCCTGGATTCAAGTGATTCTCCTGTCTCAGCCCTGAGTAGCTGGGATTACAGGTGCGCGCCACCATGCCGGGCTAATTTTTCGTAGTTTTAGTGGAGATGGGTTTTCACCATGTGGATCAGGATGGTTTCAAACACCTGACCTCAGGTGGTCCACCCACCTCACCCTCCTAAAGCCACTGCATCTTTGTCCCTGCTGTTCCCTTGGCCTGGAGTGCCCACTCCTCTTTGAGATCCAACTACGATTTTCTTTTGATTCAGCACATCTTGCAAATGTCCACCAGATGGTGCTCACTCATCTCCAGCAGGGAGCTGACAAGCCGCCCCTGGGGTTGAGAGGACCGATGTGCCCCACAGAGAGGCTGACAGCCTCCACAGTCCTCTCCAGCCTCCAGAGGGCCAGCCACAGGCCTGAGTGACTCTCCCTGTCACCTGCACCGTCTCTGAGGGTGCCCATCCAGCCGCCCACACAGATCCACATCAGTCCCTGCTCCCTGCACTGATCCCTTCCAGTGGGTCTGTTCTCAGCTCCCAGCCCTGCCCCAGCCTGGCACTCACTTGTTCTTCTCCAGCTCAAGCAGGAGCTCCTGGCCTTCAGCCTCCAGGGTCACCAGTCCCACATCTGGCCTCCAGACCTGGGCGAGAAGGCGTGCAGGGCTGAGATGGTGGCCTCCAGGCCTTCTGCCTGCCAGGGAGCAGGTGGCCTGTGGAACTGGCTAGGGAGGAAGGTCATGGGGAGAATGTGGGCTGTCGGGGGAGCAGGACCCCCTACATACTATAGAAGGCTGGGAGGAGGTGAGAACATACAAAGATGTTCCCATGCTCAGGATGTTTTCTGTCCTGACACAGCCCCTTGGAAGGGCATGAGCACAGCCTGCCAGGCTCACTGACATCCTCCCTAGAGATCAGAGACCCCAGAAAGGTGCCCTTCCCCTGGCCAACCCTCTTCTTTCATACTCAGAAGGGGCATCAAAAGCAGGGAAAGACAGAGGGGTGCTGAGGACATCGTCGGGGCATCGGGCAGCATGGCAGGGCCTCCTCACAGTCTCTGACACCCGAGGCTTGCTTCCGGATCATGCTGCCTCTCATTCCCTATAGAATTCAAACTTTACTCCTCTGCTTCCAATGTTGGCAAACTGCCCCTCTTCCAAAGTTTTCCTGGGCCTCCAGCAGCCCCTATCCCTCCCACCCTGACACCTGCTTCACCAGACCCATGAAGTAAATATGGACCCCATTGCAGCCAAAGAGCACAAAGACTCTCAGCTAGGTGTCAGGAGGCTGGCGTGGCCTGCCAACTCTCTCTCCTTCCCGCACCCTCTTGGCCTCTCCCACCCTGTGGGAACACCCCACTTCCCCCTTGTCCACTTAGCCTGGTTGGGGGCCCAGGAGCTTCCTTGGAGGCTGCTGTGCTTTGGAATGTTTGACCCCTGACTCCTTTTCTCAAAAAATGCACTGGGCTGGGGCACTGTCCAGGGTCTCCGAGTCTTTTCGGGGAGTTCTTCCTTTGCAGGTGGGGAGCAGAGGGCCCTTGCCCCACTGGCCACAGGCCCCACAAGGCCTCCAACATGAGCTCATGTGGCTGGAATGCCACTTGCTTTACTAGGGAAACATTGCACTAGGAGAAGGGCGGTGGCCCAGATGGAAGGACATACTCGAGGTCCTGTCCCTCTGCAGCCCCTGCTGTCTTTACCTTTGCCCCCCTGGTACCCTGCGCCTCGATATATAACCCCTATCTTGAAGTGTGAGTGTATTCTGGCTGTGGGAGGAGATACCCAGCCTCTACTCTGTCTCCTGTCCCATCTTGGCAGGCTTTCTGGGGGAAAGGGCCCACAGTTGGGGGAAGGCAGGGCCCCTTTGGGGTTCCCCTCTTGGTCACAGCCCAGGCCAGACAGGGAAGGAGGCCCAGAGGCAGAATGACCCAGTGTGCCCAGCCTTCCCCTCCCGGGGGTGGGGAAGATAGTCTCAAAACTCCGGCCAGTGTCTTGCTTGGCCCGTGGAATGGGGGCCTGTGGGCCTAGGCGATCCCAGTGAGGGCCCTAGGGTGGGAGCTGCTGGGTCTCTGGGGGCCTCCTAGCCTTCGTGGCAATGCTCCCCTGCCTTCCCTCTTCCTCTTGCTGGGTTTGGACAGTAGGGCTGGAAACTCCAAACAAAGAGGGTTCTCTAGGATGGGCAGGGGTTTAGCCAGTGGTTTAAAATCTTTCAGAGCTTAGTGGGTCTCAGGCTCCCAGCCTACAGAGCCGTGTGACCATGGGCAATTTCCCCAACCTCTCGGCTTCTGCTGGCCCCTCTGTAAAATGGGCACATCAAGGCTACTGGCCTCTTAGTGTGCAGCACAGACATGGGGCGTGATTATTCTGAAAGCATGTGAAGGCCGGGATTGGGAGGAGGCTGGGGCAGAGTGTCCTGCAGAAGCACATGTGGTGGTCTTACATCTGGGGGTACCAGGAGAGTGACCACTGCCCCCTGCCAGAAGTGGATCCCCCAGCAGCCAGTGGGGCTGGAGGTTCAGGCCTTCAGTGGCAGGTCCCTGAGAGGGACAGCAGTGTGTCCACAGGGTCATATGTTCTGGTCAACTTTGCAAAAGGTTTTCTTTTTGGTGTTTTTTTTTGGCTCCGGAAAAAGCTTCAGGCCCCACAAACCCTGGACCCATTTCTGCCTGGCGGGGGTGGGGTGAGCCGGATCATCCAGGGAAGGCGGGGAAGGGGAGGTGGGGCCAAAGAAGCTGAAATGACTTCCATTTGTGTGGGCTCATGAGATCTAAATACCAAACCCTGATGCCCTCTTCTGCCCACTCCTTTAGGGGGTAGGGGCCTAAAGGAGTAGGGACGCGGTGGTTCTGGGAACCCCAGCAAAACTGCCAAGCTGTAATGTGGGGAGGGATAAAAGGGCTGGGAGGCTCAGGGCCTCTGCAGAGGATGGGGTGACATAGCACTGACCGGCTCCTCCAGGCTGGCGCTGTGCCAGGGTCGTCCATCCAGGACCCAGCGGGCGGTGACTGGCTTCCCAGGGGTAGGTCCTGGAGTGAAGACAGAGCACAGGGTGAGGGGGACTCAACAGGACACAGCAGAGGAAGGGGATTAGAGAACATCCCCAGGGAGGCACGGGAGGCCTTTCGTAGCACACTCCATCTTCAACACTCGTGGGCTCGGCCTGGAGAAGGAGGGACACCCGTGGGCATCCTTGTATCTGAGGAGCTACCAAGGAGGAGGAAAAGAGAAGGCTGGGGAAGCAACAGCTCAGCTGGGGACACGGGAGTTCCCTGACTGTTGGGAGGGTCAGGCTTGGAGTTGTGGATCACAAGGAAGAGGCCAAGGCTGCCAGTGCAGAGGCGAAGGGAAGAGGGAGGCAGCCGCGGGTATTTTTAGATGGGCAGCAGATGCTTTTAGGGTGAGAGCTCTATGAAGGGAGGACGCCTGTGTCTCCCACCATCCGAGAAAAACAACCAGATGTTGCCTTGGGAGGTCCACCTTGCCCAGAGCTCCCTCAGGGACTCCGACCTGGTGGCAGGGGTTTGGTACTCTGGCCCAGAAGGCCCCTCCTCATCTCTTCAAGTTGAGGGGAGGCTTCCAGACACAGCCTCACTGCTCCCAGGCCTGGTGTGTGTAAGGGGGGTCTAGGAGGAATCCCAGAGTCAAACATTACTCAGAGGGCGCCTGGAATGCTCCCCTGGAATGCTCCCAGCCCCCCACTAGCCCCAACCACTCTCACAGGACCGCCCTGCAGGAGCCAGGCCCCAGGCACCCAGAGCCTGCAGCGGCCCTCCTTCCCCCTGGTACCCAGTCCCAGCTCCTGGCACAGACAGCCCCCACCCCCACGAAGCCCTGGCATCAGTCCTGCCGGGCTGTGGAAGTGACTCAGTTCCTGCTAGGCCAACCCAACTCCTTTTTTCTCCTCCATCTTCTCTCCCATACTCCAAGCATCAAAGACCCTCCAAGAAGCCCTCTTTGATTGGATGAGTGAGTTACCATCAGGCAGATGGGGGTCAAGAGCCCACCACCTTGGAAAGGAAGTTTAGGGGGGACAGTGTGGTGAGGGTTCTGAGTGGACCTGGGGGAGGGGAAGGAGAGGAGGTCCCTCAGCCCAGAGAGCACTTGACTGAGAGTAGAGAACCAAGCTTTGCTAGTCCTAGGCCTCCAAGGGTTTGGGAAGGAGGTAGGGTGGGCCGAGGCACAGGTGTGGTGCGGGTGCTGTCCCCATAATCTTGCACGCACATGGTGGCCATGGGCACCTGACCCCTATGAGGGAGAGGGAGGCAGAGCTGGAGATCCGGTGACCAGGTGGATGGGGGTGGAGGCCGAGAGAGCCAGATGGTATTGGGCACACAGAGCCCCCTCTCCCAGGGGTCCCCTGGCCTCCCCTGGCCCAAGGCTAGGGCTCAGAGGGGAGGGAGCAGTGGACAGCCTAGGACCTTCTCCTAGGGCCAGAATAGAGCAGGCCCCTGTACTTGTTTGGTCTGCGCACAGCGCTGTGGAAGCCACCGCCCAGGTTGCACCGCCAGGCCCTGCCCTGCGCGCCTCCTCCACGCTTGCCCTCCCTGTCCCCGGCCGGGCACTTGCTGTGCAGGACTGGCTAATCCTCCCACCTATTTGCAGAGGCTGTTACCAGCCCCATCTTAACATCTCTGTTTGGAGGGGTTGCCCCTAGGAGACAGCGCCGCAGTCCTCCCAGGGAAGGCTAAACAGGGACCTCCGGTCTGCAGAGGCCCTTCTCTATCTCACCAAACAAGGCAACACTATAAACAACACACACGCAGCCCTGCCGCCCTGCGAGGAGGGACAGGGTTGAGCAGGGCGCAGGCCACAGCTAGTTCTGCAGCCTGAGAGCAAAGCAGGGACTCTGGGGGCCTCTTGGGCATGGGGGCTTCCTGGAGGATGGAGCCCCGCTGAGTCCTAAGAGGTGGAGGTGCAGGAGCGGGTCACAAGGTGGGGGATGGGAGGTTGTGAGAGCGAGGATCAAGGCAGAGGGGCCTGCGGGCCGGAAGCTGGGCTGCCCCCGAGGGGGAGGGGGCCATGCCCTCTGCTTTGCCGGCAAAGTGGCAGCCGGGCAGTGTGGGCAAATCCGGGCCCCAGACCACCCCAAGCACAGTTGGGCGTCCCTGGGCAGGTCCCAAGGAGCCAACCCCCAAACCATCCCCACGCCCTGACCTCCTGTCCGTACGGTCCCGGGGCTGTGAGACTGTCCAGGCGCTGACCCCAGCTCTGAGCAGAACCCACCTCCGTCCCCACCACCGCCCTCACCATCTTGCCTCTCTTGCCCCTCAGGGCGCACCCCGCCCGCGTCCTCACCTGGAAGCACCCCGGTGCCCGGCACCGGCCAGAGGAGCAGCAGCAGCAGCAGCATCGGGAACCCCCGAGCTCTCCGGAGCCTCCAGACCAGAGCTGTGAGCGCCTCGGCCTCTAGGCTGCCGCTCGCAGCTGCCGGCTCCGCCTGGGCTGGATCGCGGCCGACCCACGCCCAGTGCAGCCCCGGACCGCGGCCTTCGGACCTTCCCGCCTCCCGCGCCCGCTCCCTACCACTCCTCCCAGCCAACCCCGCGGGTAGCCTGCCCTAGGGCCCCGACGGAGTGCGCCCTGGGGAGCCCGGACGCCTCTCCCCGGCCGCCTCCCGTCGAGGGGTGGAGCTGGGCGGAGAGGGGAATCCGCGGGGCCCCTCGGGTGACCCGCCCCAGGCGTCCCGCCCGTCGGTCTCAGAGGGCCTCTACTCCTGGAGGCAGAGTGGAGACGGAGCGGAACCGCTGGGAAGGTTCCTTGAGGACCGCGGCGTGCTGGGGTGAGGCGGAGGGCAAAGGCCGCCAGGTGCTGCTGAAGTCTGCGCGGGGAGCGCGCTCTTCCGTGGTCTCCTGGGGCCAACCAACCACGTCCTGCCCAGAGGCTCCCTGAGAACCTGGCGGAGGTTGAGTCGGGTCATGCACCTGCGCTGGGTACCCCTAGGGGTAGGAAGGTCCAGGCCATCACCGGCTGCTGCTGTCAGGGTTGCTGTCTCTGAGCCACTGCGGCCGCCAGCCGCTGGCCCCAGGCCCGCGAAGAGGAGGGAGCCAGTGAAGACGGAGGTCTTGAGGGCTTCATTGCTGGGCAAAGGGGATGCAGCTGACAGAGACAACCCTTTGTCCCTGGCGATGGCCAGAGGGCAAAACTGTATAAAGCTATAGACTGCCAGACCTGGGAGACCCTTTTGGCCTCAGTAATAACTGTTTCATGTTTTAAAGGTTTGTTTTCCTACTCGGTGCAAATTTGTTGTTTTTTATTATACTTTAAGTTCTGGGGTACATGTGCAGATCGTGCAGGTTTGTTACATAGCTATACAGGTGCCATGGTGGTGGTTTGCTGCATCCATAGCCCCGTCACCTACATTAAGTATTTCTCCTAATGCTATCCCTCCCCAATCCCTGCATCCCCTGCTATTCCTCCCCTAGCCCCCACTCCCGAGGCCCTGGTGCAAGATGTTCCCCTCTCTGTGGTGTGTTCTCATCGTTCAACACCCACTTATGAGTGAGAACATGCGGTGTTTGGTTTTCTGTTCTTGTGTCACTTTGCTGAGAATTATGGTTTCCAGTTTTATCCATGTCCCTGCAAAGGACATGAACTCATTGTTTTTTATGGCAGCATAGTATTCCATGGTGTATATGTGCCACATTTTCTTTATCCAGTCTGTCATTGATGGGCATTTGGGTTGGTTCCAAGTCTTTGCTATTGTGAACAGTGTGCAATAAACATACGTGTGCATGTGTCTTTCTAATAGAATGATTTATAATCCTATGGGTATATACTCAGTAATGGAATTGCTGGGTCAAATGGTGTTTTTATTTCTAGATCCTTGAGAAATCGCCACACTGTCTTCTAAAATGATTGAACTAATTTACACTCCCACCAATAGTGTAAAAGTGTTTCTGTTTCTCCACATCCTCTCCAGCATCTGTTGTCTCCTGACTGTTTAATGATCGCCATTCTAACTGGTGTGAGGTGGTATCTCATTGTGGTTTTGATTTGCATTTCTCTAATGACCAATGATAATGAGCATTTTTTCTTTTTCCTTTTTTTTTTGTTTGAGACGGAGTTTCGCTCTTGTTACCCAGTCTGGAGTGCAATGGCGCCATCTCGGCTCACCGCAACCTCCTCCTCCTGGGTTCAGGCAATTCTCCTGCCTCAGCCTCCTGAGTAGCTGGGATTACAGGCACGCGCCACCATGCCCAGCTAATTTTTTTTTTTTTTTTGTATTTTTAGTAGAGACGGGGTTTCACCATGTTGACCTGGATGGTCTCGATCTCTTGACCTCGTGATCCACCCGCCTCGGCCTCCCAAAGTGCTGGGATTACAGGCTTGAGCCACCGCGCCCGGCCAATGAGCATTTTTTCATGTTTGTTGGCTGCATAAATGTCTTCTTTTGAGACGTGTCTGTTCATATTCTTTGCCCACTTTGTGATGGGGTTGCTTTTTTCCTGTAAATTTGTTTTAAGTTTTCTGTAGATTCTGGATATTAGCCCTTTGTCAGTTGGGTAGATTGCAAAATTTTTTTCCCATTCTGTTGGTTGCTGGTTCACTCTACTGATAGTTTCTTTTGCTGTGTGGAAGCTTTTAAGTTTAATTAGATCCCATTTGTCAATTTTGGCTTTTGTTGACAATGCTTTTGGTGTTTCAGTCATGAAGTCCTTGTCCATGCCCATGTCCTGAATGATATTGCCTAGGTTTTCTTCTAGAGTGTTTATGGTATTAGGCCTCATGTTTAGATCTTTAATCCATTTAGAGTTAATTTTTGTAGAAGGAGTAAGGAAGGGATCCAGTTTCAGCTTTTTGCATATGGCTAGCCAGTTTTCCCAACACTACTTATTAAATAGGGAATCCTTTCCCCATTTCTTGTTTTTGTCTGATTTGTCAAAGGTCAGATGGTTGTAGTTGCGTGGTGTCCTTTCTGAGGCCTCTGTTCTGTTTCATTGGTCTATGTCTCTGTTTTGGTACCAGTACCATGCTGTTTTGAATACAGTTGCCTTGTAATAGTTTGAGCATCAGTGTGATGCTCCAGCTTGTTTTTTTGTTTGTTTGTTTGTTTTTTGCTTAGGATTGTCTTGGCTATGCGAGCTCTTTTTTGGTTTAAGGTGGTTTTTTCCCAGTTCTGTGAAGAAAGTCATTGGTAGCTTAATGGGGATAGCATTGAATCTATAAATTACTTTGGGCAGTATGGCCATTTTCATGATATTGATTCTTCCTAACCATGGGCATGGAATGTTTTTCCATCTGTTTATATCCTCTCTTATTTCCTTGAGCAGTGGTTTGTAGTTCTCCTTGAAGAGATCCTTTATGTTCTTTGTTAGTTGTATTCCCAGGTATTTAATCTCTTTGTAGCAACTGTGAATGGGAGTTCACTCACGATTTGGCTCTCTCTTTGTCTATTGGTATATAGGAATGCTCGTGATTTTTGCACGTTGATTTTGTATCCAGAGACTTTGCCGGAGCTGCTTATCAGCTTAAGGAGATTTTGGGCGGAGACAATGGAGTGTTCTAAATATACAGTCATGTCATCTGCAAACAGGACAATTTGATGCCCTCTCTTCCTATTCAAATGTCCTTTATTTCTTTCTCTTGCCTGATAGCCCTAACCAGAACTTCCAATACTTTGTTGAATAGGAGTGGTGAGAGAGGGCATCCTTGTCTTGTGCCAGTTTTCAAAGGAAATGCTTCCAGTTTTTGCCCATTCAGTATGATGTTGGTTGCAGGTTTGTCATAAATAGCTCTTATTATTTTGAGATATGATCCATCGATGCCTAGTTTATTGAGAGTTCAATGCTCTGCACGTTCAGAGAAACTTCTCTAGTAACAAACTATAGAAATGATCCCTGAAGTATAGTCTTACTTGGTACAAATTTGGATGGCAAGAGATGTTAACTTTTAAGCGCCCCCCCCACCCCGCCTTTTTTTTTTTTGAGACAGAGTTTCGCTCTCGTCACCCAGGCTGGAGTGCAATGGTGCAATCTCGGCTCACTGCAACCTCCATCTCCCGGGTCAAGCGATTCTCCTGCCTCAGTCTCCTAAGGCAATTTTGTAAAGGAGGTGATTTTGTAAAACTACAAAAATTAGCCAGGCATGATGGTGCATGCCTGTAGTTCCAGCTACTGAGGAGGCTAAGGAAAGAGAATGGCTTGAACCTGGGAGGCAGAGGTTGCAGTAAGCAGAGATCACACCACTGTACTCCAGTCTGAACAGAGCGAGACTCCATCACAAAAAATAAAAATAAAAAAGAACTCCTGGTCTTAAGTGATCCTCCTGCCTCAGCTTCTCAAATCAATGGAATTACAGCAGTGAGCCACCACACCTGGCAAGCCTGTTCTTATGAGATTATTACTTATTACTGCTACTTTGGATTTTCAAATTAACTTTTTTAAGGTGTAATTTACACACAACAAAATGCACTTATTTTATTTTGAGACAGAGTCCTTGAGTTGCTTTTATCATGTGCAAACTTTTCTGTATGTTACACTTCAATTAAAAGTACAAAAAGTCTTGAGAGGCCTCAGGCCACTGGAAGTGAACACAGCTAACCCCTCTGAGGACCCTCCACTCCAAGATGGACATAGGTCCCCTTGGAAGTACATGGAAGCAGATGAAGACTCCCAAGTTCCCAGATTCCCCTGTTAGCCACCCGTCAGCGGCTGCTTTTGGTCCTCCCCTCACCCTCTCTTCCCCAGACAGCCCCCAAACATCTGGCTGCACTTGGCTTGCTCTCTCCCTGTCCCACCTCTGGATGTAGTCCACGTCCTCTGCCCTCCCCATTGTCAGTAATGTAGACAAGACAAGTGCTGAGTTTGTGCCCACCTACTGCATGCCATGCACGGTGCTGGTCACTGTGGGTGGCAGATGTGAGCAACACACGGAGCCTCGAGGAACAGAAAGGGACACAAATCACTTCAGCACAAGGTAATTTGTGATAAATGCCATGTAACTTGCACCCCCAGCTCCATCCTACAGGCGATGTCTGAGAATAAACCCCACTAACATGTGAGTCCTCTATGCTCTAGCCCAGCTGTTTGGGTTGCAAGAAAGTGACTCACTCCAGTTGCGTCATAGGGTAGAGGTTTATTGGAAGGACATTCTGGACGGGCTCCCAGAAAGAGTCTGGCAATGGAGCATGAAAAGGAATGGGGCTGGAATGAGGGAGGATGCAGCCTCTGCTACACAAAGTTCACCTGGCCTCCAACTGCCTCCCAGCCTGTTAGGTGCCAACTCCCCACTTCTCTCTGGTTTTCAGCCCAAATCCCAGAGCAGAGGGCTCCTAGCTCCTCCCACCATCTGCACCAGGCTGCAAGGGGAGTCACTAGCCCACTCGAGAGCTCTCTCCTGTCGGTCCCTGATTCCCAGGGGCACGTCGTTCCTTCTTGGTAACTCATCCTCTTTAACAGCCCCTGACATAGGGTCCTCCGTGAAAAGGACAGGAGCTCACTCAGTCATGGACAGGGATGTATCTGGAGCAGGAACAAGGATGCTGATGATATCTGTGTTTGTCCTTACTCTTGTAAGTGCCAGTAAGGCAGTACCCATCCCTGGGGGTAGGGGTGGTGGTGGGAATGAGGGCATCTCTTCTTCCAGAGGCCAAATCTGGCATAAGGATGTCTGCTGAGGCAACTCTACTGCCTGGCATGCTCTCTCCCTAGGAAAACACCAAACCTTTTTTATTTCCTCAGTCTTAAGTGTGAGAGTGATCACCTCTTCCAGGAAGTCCATGACCAGAATGGTCAGGGGCACACCTTGGCCCTCAGTAGATGGTCACTGAGACAAAACATGGCCTGCTGGTGGCATTCCCATCAATGTCAAAAGTCTCAGAGATGAGCCCACAGTTGGGAGTCCTTTGGAAACCCAGTTCCAAATGTCTTTTGAGTCCTCTGGACTCAAAAGAAAAACTGCATTTCCCAGCCTCCCTTGTAGCTCGGAGTGGCCATGTGATACTCCAGCCAATGGGAAGTGAGTGGAAAAGTCATG